ACCACTGCACGGTGTGCGATTACCATCTGCATGCAGTGTGCGCTAAGAACATGATAAATGGGTTGCAAGAGAACGGCCTCAAGGGACGTGAAAAGCCGAGTGTGTTAGGGACTGCTGCTCGCCTCGCGTCTCAAGTTGTCACTGAATTCGTCGGCGGCATCATTGAGGGGCTTGGGGAAAGTGTTGCTGAAGTCTTGGTTCAAGATATTGCCAGGTCAGGAAGACCAAATGCCCGCCGATCATCCAATTCTCCTGACTGATTAACAATATGTTTGTTCTTGGGCATATGCGCATATTCATGAAGTTCTCCACTTTAAGACTCTATATTTATGAATTACCAAATGTATTTATGATATATATATGTACATACATATATATATATATATATATGATGGGTTAATTATTATATATCACCGTAAGTAGCTGATCTGCTCAAACATATAATGATATACATATATACAGGAAACCTTTAAGGTAAGGGATTCTTATTTTTTTTAATAAAAATAGGGATTAGTTGTGGAGTTCACACCACATCAAACTTTAACAATTTGAACCATCTATTTTTCAAGTTGCACCTCTTAGATCACCCTTGCAAAATATTACCCAAATCGGAAATGTTTAAGACATCTAATTGAGTTCGAAGAAATTAACGAATATTTTGTTATATAAAAAACAATGAAATTTTATCTTGATAATTAAATAGATAAATGGTTTCGGATTGAATTGAATTTTTGTAAGGATGATCTATAAAATGAAACTTACAAAATAGACGGTTTGGATCGTTGAAATTCGATGTGGAGTGGGTCCCACACCTAATCCCCATTTTTTGAAAAAAAATGGGGATCCCCTTGCATAAAGGACCTGCATATATACATATACAGACACTTTAGGAAAAAAAAAAAAAGGGATTAGTGCAAGTGGCCATTTACCACAGTGGTGGAAAGATGTTGAGCCCTTGCATGACGACATGTGACACACCCCGATCCAAAAATTGGGGCGTGCTGACCGTCACTTGAAGGTGACATAGCCAAGTGCACAATGCGGAAGTAAAAGAGTGAAAATACGAGAAAAATAAAGTCAACAAGATAATTTACAATAAAAAAAATCAGTGAGTGATAGTGACAAACATGGAAGGAGAAATGTAAAGTAAAAGTTCAAGTGTCCTAGGTGCAGTCCAGAATAAACAAACAGTACACAAGTGATAACTAGAAAATCCTACATGAAGGGTGCTCTGTCAGAAATGCCTCGATGCCTCTTTCGTCACCCACGTCCTCCCTACCTAAAACCTGGAGGGGCGCAAAACAAAAAACGTGAGTGGGAAAAAACAACGTTTGTTTTTCAAACCATTTCAATATCAAGTAATAACCCCTCTTTATAAAACCTGTATACTTTCCAGAAAATATTATACGTTCTCGTATATCAAATCATGCTAAAACGATAAAGCTCAATATGCCATGCCAGAATATGCCGCGTCAGAATATCCAAACAAATAGTATAAGCATCAAGCAGGTGAGATAATACAAATCATAATATGCCAGTAATATCAGTACGTCAGCCGGAGTCACCTAAAGTGACTTGTACGGTTGAAACTATAGCTCCTCAACCATTATCCTACACACGAGTCGGAACCACTTATATTGGTTTGTACGACAGGCTGGTGTATATAAATACACTCAATGCTACGATCATGTGAAGGTTGTGCGATGTATCGCGGGTCACCTACGAGTCGGAACCACCTATAGTGGTATGTACAACAAGCTGGCACCTGCCTTGGATCCAAGGTGAGCGTATGGTGCAAGAGGTGAACGATCACGTGAAGGTTAGGCCCTACTCTGGCGGAGCACAATCACCGAGGTGCAAGAATATATGTTATAACTCAATCTCATCAACACCACATCTATCACTAACAACGTATTCACTTGACTTGCCTGAGCGTCTGCGGCACCAAAACACAACCAACACAATCACAATAAGAATATCGACGATATTCGACATGGCATTTCAATTATTAAACCATTAAAACGTAATTTCTGGAAAGATATCAATTAATATATATATATATATACTGAAAACAAAAGCCCACTCACTGATACGTAGACGGGTCGTAAGCCCCAAGCCTCGCGTGGCTGCGCTCGTCCTCTAGGTAGTCCTCACCTATATGCGAAACAACTATAAAACCATCAAATTAACGCACATAACCAACCTTAGATAATAACTTCTCATACATTGCTCAAATGAGGTGTTTGAATATACCAACAGACTCTACTCAACCTCACGAACATCCCCATATTTTTAAAATAATTTTCTAACCTCCCACGCGCCGCCATGCGCCGGCCAAAGCACAGCCACACGCGTCAGCCACACGCGGGCACGTGTCTGGCACGCATGTGAAACCCTAACGGCATTAGGAAATATTCCGTTAAAACCCTAACAGACGTTAACGGCCGTTACCTGACACCATTAGAATATTCCGTTAACTCTGACGGAATATTCACCTCCTTCTCCGGTGAGCCTCGCAGATCGTCGTCGTCTGCAACTTGAATTTTCATCAGAAACTAGAAAAACTTCAAACCTTAATATCTTCTTCATTTCTCAACCAAATTCCATGAAATTTGTACCAAAATGAAGCTTACAACGAGTACAACAAAACCTTACCACTTTGGGGACCTTAAACCAACGAAATCTCGCCGGAGAAACCTCGATATTCCGACCAAACCTGCAACTGGATGAACTTAAGCTTCCTAACGTCCAAAACACTTCAAAATTACTCTCCAAACTTCGTGAAGATGTCCTAAAGCTCCCTATAACCTTAGAAACTTCTAAAAACCTCACAATCACGTGTGCATGAACAATGCACCAAAACTGGGCTCTCGGGTTTTCGAAGGTCTCACGTCCTAAAAATGGTATGGATGAGTTCCTGGGCTTGCAAGGAGTCCAAAACTAACCTTCAAACCTTCGATCCGTTCGTGGAAAGTTAGTTTGAAGTTCGTCCGTACACTTGCAAAGGAAATGGAAGGAAAATGGAAGAAAGTCCAAGGGAGAAGGAAGTCACGGGTGTGTGTGCGTGGGTGTGTGGGTGTGTGGTCCAGATGGCAGCCCACCATCCAAAAACAAAACAGACCAAACACCCTACAACACAAATTAACATCCAGGGGCGAAATCGTCATTTCACACCTACGGTACAAATAATTCGGGACGGGATGTCACAATATGGGTTCGAACTCCGTCAGTGATTGATCTAAAAAAAAAAAACAAAAACAAAAAAAGAATTAGTTGTGGGCCCACACCACATTAAACTTCAACACTCCGAACCATTTATTTTTCAAGTTGCACTTCATAGATCATCTTTACAAAATAGCCAAATCGGAAATATTTTAGGCATCTAATTGAGTCCAAAGAAATTGATGAATTGAGTTTAAAGAAACATTGAAATTTCATCGTGACAATTAAATGACAAATGGTTTTGAATTGAATTAAATTTTTTATATGGAGGAACAACTTCATGAGAGGCCGGAACTCGCACTATTGTACCTAAAACAGAATATGATACGGTATTTGACAATACAAAACTTATTTATTTCAATGTTTTTTCCAATCCTTTTTGGCCCTAGAATGTAAAGATCCTCAATCACGTGATTTTCTACAATTGCTCTAGAATATGAAGAATATTATTGGTGACACGCCATTTAGTTTAAAAATTGATCTCCTAACATTATCCATCATATAAATAGGGTTTAGGGATGCACGTATATATAACTAAGTAGTTATTTAATTGTTACAGATGTGAAAACATAAACATTTTCTTCTCCCGCTCAAATTCATATCCAAGTTTAAAAATGTCTCACCGTAATTTAGATATATTTAGCTTAAAGAATCCTACCATTCTCTTAGTTGAACTAAATTGCAGCAATTTTGGATGCAAAATACGGAATACGGGTGAAGGCAACAAAGAAATGTTTATTGGGGTTTCACGGAATATGGAAAATCATGCATCAACACAACAGCTGGTTTTCACAAATCAATTATGGATGCACTTGCTGCTTGCTAGGAGGACGGGAGGATGCTCGATCGTGTAGCAAATAGCAATGCAAAACCCTTCACAAGACCATAAACAATGTTACAGGAGTCCCATGTGAAATGCCAAACCGCAAACCCTTGGAGCTCACATTTCCTCAGCCACTGACACACACCATCACCATCGTCTACATATTTTTCTCTCTCAAATCTTCAACTTGGGAGATCCCTTCCCACCGTGAATTTAGCAATTAGCACATGATTTAGAAACCAATAAATCCCATGTATACGCTGAGCTCCAACACAAAAGAGACAACATCTTTATCGTCTGTTAAATAATATCCATCTCCGAAATTTACACCCGAAAAATAAAATTATATAAAATCTCCAAAGCTAAAAATACACCACCTGGGAGCTGCCTCTTTATCTTAAATAAACTCCAATCAAATTTTCTAATGTCTGTCATTCAATGAAATTGATCTTCCCGTGATTGATCCTTCACCAATACATCAACTCTCCGGTGAACGAACTTGGGCAGGCTTATATCTCTCTATACTAGATAGAAATCCGGAAGGGGAGACCCACATCCACATATATCATTAACATCTAATTTTGGTATAACTGCTTTTTTTTTTCATCCACTTTCACTTCTTCCTTCTTTATGGGTCTCCGACATTTTCCCTTCATCCTACTTTCCATGAATATTTTTACAATCTGCCCATCTCCATGGATCATCGATTCATCTTATCCAACATTATACACGGGTGGGGGTCTCACGGGCGGAAGAGTTTCTACGTTCAAAGGGGAGAAAGACAGAAAATTCACCTATTTCACAACGCAAATGAGCAAAAGGAAGAGCATAACCCAAGACTATACACATCTCGGGTCAGTTGGAGATAAACATGCAGTATCTGAATCATCAAATACCTGAGCCTGATTCAGAATCACTTCCTTATGAGGTCCGCCATCACCCCCTAGGCTTCCTCTTGAATGCCGCTAAAGCAAAAATCCTCCCTTCTTCCAGAATTGCATCATCCCAATCAAGCTAATCTGGAAAGTGCACGTTGACCTGCAGTTTGTTCCTATTTCTTAATCACTACTTATCCTATAAAGATTAAATTGTGCCGTAACCCAAATTCTCCCACTTGAAAGGAGCAACTAAGCCAATATCAGGTAAGCCCCTCAAGAACAAGCAGACACATACACAAACAGCAGCTATGGCAAGCATAGAATGAATGAAGGGACGCTGAAGCAAGCCTTGAGCACCGGGAACCCTCCTAGTGTACTTTGTTGCTGCAATTGCACACTTGGTACACGATCTACTACCTTGTCTGAATTGGGTACTTGTCCTGTGCTCCAGTTCCATACTCATCTGATGTTGATCTCTCTCATCTCCAATTGTGACAGTAATCTGACTATTTCTTCTGTCAGCAAGCTTTCGAGCCACCAAGTTGTTATAAGAGTAATTATTCCTCATCAAAGCATAAGCATACGGAGACTGCCCATTAGCATCCAAAAGAGACTTCCAGCAGTTCAATCCAATCTAGAGGGAAAGAGTGAAACAAAAGGTTCAAAAAAAATATGTCAAAGGTTAAAAAAAAATCTGTCAGCATACTTGTAAGACTGGTACCAAGTTTTATAGCAACCATTAGAAAAGCACACCAATATCTATAAATTGGAATAAGCACAAAGTCCAAACTCCAAAAAATTTTATAGACGAGTCACGAGCATGCCAACAATTATTTTTACCTCCAGCGGGTCATTTGTCAAAGCATCAATCATGTCATCTGTACTTGACATACAAGCAGCCAAATGAAGAGGGGTCATGCCACCAGGTCCAGCAAGATTAGGTGGAAAAATATAACGCTTGTCACTGTCACTGTTGACCGTAGAATAATTAATGAGCAAGTCAACCATCTTCCTGCACCTCCTTTTTACTGCCCGGTTCAGAAGCTGCATGTCTGACAGCATAACCAATCCTCCCGACAGCGCATCACTGTCGAAATTTCTTTCAAATAGTATGTCTAGAAGTGTTTCAACCAAAGCACAAAAGTCTTTCTCGACAGTGAATGTGAGTAAAAATTTGAAACGGCTGAGTGCATAATGAGGCTCTTGAAGCATGGAACATATCCTTTTTCTTTGGAAGAGCCATCCAAGCTCATTCAAAAAGTGTAGGACTTCATCCCTTGATGTCGGCCGCCCATAATCATTACTTCCAGCTACTGATATTACATCACATACTTTCGCCTCAGCATCAAACACTGACTCAAGGACCTTCAATTCTCTGCAGATTGTAGCATCAGCTATTATCACTGGAAAACTGTTGCCCTTAAAACCATTTTCCACCTGTTCATATTAGCAAACATCAATACAACACAAACTTTTCTACATCAATTTCCAAAACAAACCAACTGTTCCTTAAAGAGTTTTACCTCTATGAAACAGCGACCAAGAACACCAGGAGATGCATCATGAATTTGGAAACTACCTAAGTCTATCTCATCATACGTCATTCCACGATATGCTGAACCAGTAGCTTCCTTTGACATGTAACCACCCATATATGTGCAATGAATCCTGCATGACCGGAAACTTTAGAAACAGAGACAAGGAATTTACAGAAGAATCTTCACACAAAAGCAAATTGTACTAACCTGGTGCCAAGATTATTCAAATTTCTACCCCTTAACAGAAGAGAGGTTTCTTGCCCACCCACGACAGCCAAAGGGGACAAAGAGATCAACTCTGGAGAACTACATGATCTCCAAGCTTTGCATGTACGAATTTTTCCTGAAAAATTATGCCACGCAAACAAAATTCAAGAGAAAATTACAAGGCAATATGCCAATGACACACAAGTCATACTTAGAAGCAGCTGAAGAAAAACTTGTTGAAGAAGTGTTATTATCGCATAAGAGCTACTAGAAATAAGTAGAAATCACACTTCAAGAGCTCCAAAAACGTAACAGTTGAAATGATATGGAATTAAAGAATATCACAATACGAGGATAAGTTAAAGATGACCAAAAGAATTCTTTCGGCCTAATAAATTGAGAATGAAACGCAAAAAGGTAAAAGAAACTTTCAGAAATTATCTCCTGATATCCTTTTCAAAACCACAAGTGGAAGCACTGGCAAAAAAAAAATTGAAAATATAAAGTGGAAGCACACTGGTAAATTAACAGACAGTAGGGTGCTTTTTAAAACAAAAAACACAAGCACCTTATTGAAAATCAATCACAAAGAATATCAGTAACCAAAAGCCACCACTACTGATCAGTACTTACCATCTTTGTGTGATGCTAATTGCCTGCCTGTATTAACCAAAAACCTCCCACTTCTCCAAAAATCAGAATCTGAACTCTCAACCAAAGAACTGACACGCTGAACCAGGTTTTCTTCAAGCTGAAAAAAATACGCACACCTTACAAGTGGTCAGCAAAAATACAATGAAAAGATTGCTGATCAGCACTAAAAAAATTCACTCACTTGCTCCCACGAAGCAGATGGCATTGATACATAAATTGATAGAACGACACAACCAGGCCTTATGTAGCTCTCCATTTCAGATGGACTGCTGGAAAGCCAATTGAATATCTAGAACAGAGCAATAAACATTGTAAGAATTCCTCTCCCCCCCCCAAGTAAAGCTGTACAAACTACAATGTTGTCTTGACAATTCATACGAAAGGGAGCGATTAAAACAAGAACCATAAACTCCTAACCTGTGTCCGCAATGTCCCTGGTAAATGACTTGGATCTTTATCAAAGAGCTTAAATAATATCCTTCCGGTGTGATCCTGTCAGAGAACAAAACAATCAATTCAATCCCGCAATCAATATAGACTAATAACATCCAACAGATGCGTACAGACGTGAAATAATCAAAGAACAGAATAAAACAATAGGTAGTAAGTCAACAGTACCTGCACATCAGAATTCAAACTAGAAGGTGAATGGTCCGAACCAGAAGAAGTATAGCCAGGTTGGTTAGGAAAGTTTTGAATGGAGCTCGCTTCAGCTCCCCTATTTGATCCTCTAAAAAGATCAAAAGGCATGTTACTGCCACAAGTCCAGCTAGTGTCAGGGTTTCCACTGCCCTCTTTGCTTACCGGCAACTTGTCAGACTTAACAATTTCTGCCAAACTCTTCAGTGGAAACAGTGTTTGCACAACAGGAGGGGAAGATGAAGGAGACCTATCCTCAGTGGGATTACTACTGTCAGAAGAGAAATACTTTCTAGAAGAAGCCAGTTTTGGCGGGCTGTCATTCTCAGGTGAGGAGCTAAATAGCTGTAAGGGTAAATTAACTCGAGCTTCTTGAACTTGGCAGTCTGAATCTTCCATGGGAGACTGGTAACTAGTGCTACTTCTCTCTCCCCCGGCTGAATGAATCTCTTGTGGAGGTATCTTGTGCAAATTGGGTTCAGCTGCCTGGTCAGAGCAGGTCAACTTAGTTTTCTCACTGTCACTGCTCTGGCTGCACTTTTGAGATAACATTGCGTGAGCTTCAGGAGCAGATGTTGCTAGAGTAGCTGATAGTACAGTAAGCAAGTCCATGGTTGATACAGATGCCCTTCCATTCAATTTGTTTTGAAGATCTAAAGAAAGCAGTTCAGAAGCTTTCCTAGTCAAACTTCCAAGATTAGGCAACTTGGCAGCAAGGTCTGCTGACAAAGGTAACGAATTTATCTTACTAAGAACCCGAAGGAGCTGCTCTCTGTCCAACACTGATGAGCCATTGATATTTCTGACATCATTTTTCCCTACAAATTTTAATGCAGAAATTTAGTACCTGATCAAAGGAAATACAAGATCGTGAACTCAAGAATAATCTTGTTACCTTGAGGACGAGCTATAGCAGCTAGCAAGTTGACGATATCGCTATTTCCAATGATTTTGTTATCCCCATCTCCTGGGAGAGTGAGCCGTGAAGTAACATCCTCTGGTTGGGTTTTCCTTCTTCTCCGGTTATGCCCCGCAAGTCTCCGTCTACAACTCCTCTTCCCCTCATCAAACTCTGAAAGGTGGTGAAACCTGCAACAACAAACAATGATTTTGATATGATTTCAGAGCTAGGACAATCACTAAAAAGGGAGGGAAATGAAGATGAGAAACCAAAAAACTAATAATTTGTTAAACAAAATGACCTGCTGCACTGCTGGCAGAATCTCTGCATCTGCTTGGCAACAAGGGCTCTGGTGGATTTACTGTGAACCTCACAGACTTTATGTCGGCGATGGTAGTCCTTGGCATTTGACAGATCTTCCTTACAGTTATCAACTTGGCACATAGGGTAGTTGCCATTCCCATTCCCTGGAGATCCAGACCGGACCCTTTTATTGGGCCTGGGCACAGGCTCCTCCACAGAGGTGAAACCACCGGCGAGATTCAGCTGAAGGCTCTCGTCATCTTCATCTTCTGCCGTGTCCTTCACAGGCCCAGAAGCTTCCTCTTTGTTCCTCTGCTCTGTTGTGGAAGTAGTGCCCAGATGCATCATCCTGGAGTCCAGCGGCTTGGCAACAAATCTGACAGTGTCCCAGTCCCAAACGTGAGGATTCCAGTCGTTGCCGGGGTTTGTGAAGCGCGGCTGCTGCGAGTAGGGGTGTTGATAATTGGGGCCCTGGTAAGGGAAATCGCGCTTCCTCCCCATGACCGGCGAATCACAAAACCGGCCCGAAAGCGTCTGGTGAATGTAAATTGGAGCAGCAACTTGGCCGCCGGCGTTTTCCATCATAGATTCAAGACAAACCAAAACACACACAAAATCTAAGCAAGCACAAAAATTGGATAAAGTCAATTATTTACTGCTTTACAACAAATCGATCAAAACTCAAAAAATAAAAAATAAAAAGATGCAAAAAGCATGAACCTTATTCAAAAGAACAAATCATTTCAAGTCATGTAAGCAAGTTTCACACAAAGCTTGAGTACTGCGCAAATAATCATTTTCGAGTTAATTTTATTTTTAATTTTGTGAATTTGGTTCCAGTTGAAAAAGAAATACATGTGCGGGTCGGCGAATAAAAAGCGAAAAGATTGCTCGATACACAACCGGAAAAAATTAAAAAAAAAATAGTAAAAAGAATTGCGTACCTTCACAGAAATCTAGAATCCATCCACATCCACATCCGTTTCACCCAAAAGTCTTCACTTTGTCCGGGGATTAATCCAACCCAAACCAAGCCGGAGTATACTCCGACGTCCGATCTGAATACTTGAGACTCCGGTCGCCGATGGTCAGAGACAAATCTCACATGTCATCGAATTGACTTACATCAACAGCGAAGAAGGTCTTCTCCCGTAAATCCCAGTTGAAATGAAACGACAGACAGACAGACTGATTCTGCGTCTTCGTCGGCGTCGGCGGCTGCTTCCAATAACAAAACCGCATCTAAAACCAAACCGTTATCAGCAGTTCTGAAACAACGTTTGCAGATCCAACTGATGAAAGCAAACCCTCTCTTCTCTTTCTCTCTCTTAATTTTTCTTTTACTTTTCCTCTCTAGAGACTCCAAGTCGTCCCCACCAGCTTAAGCTTGTAAGTTGTAACAACACCTTTTTTCTTTCTTTCTGTGAATGGCAACAATCGTAAATTCGAGTGAGATTGGGGTGGTATTGGAGGCCGCTCAAAGCAGCAAACGAAGAATCCAAGACCTTTCCTTGCTTGCTTCCACCTATACAATACCACTATATAATATTATATTATACTATAATATATGTACAAAATAAATGTACTAATGTACTATCACACTGTTATATTACTATTTTTCTCAATAAATTTAATATAACTGTTAGAGGTAAAGACTCCAAGCGTCAGAGCGTAAAAAGCGAAGACGAATTTTTCACCAGCAGATGAGGATTGAAGATGATGCTATTTTACCAAACTACCCTTGAATTTGGGTTTTGCAATTTGCGATTTAGGGGGACGTACAGGAAGAGGAATGTGTGAACATCAGATTATAATAATTAGGATTAATATGAACACCTGACAACGTTCACATTTTTTGGAAGGAAAAAAAGGACAACGATTGCATTTCTTAATTTAATTCGCCTTTCCCGCATACGATTTTTAATCCTCGTTCCTATTGTCACCTATTTGATTAATTAATCGTTTCATTTAATTCTACATTTTCAACCATAACAGAGTTAAAAATAAGGAATTTTAACGAAAAGTTTGTAGTACTGTTCATTTTAACGAAAAATCATATTTTTACACTAAAAGGTCAAACTTGATACTATTCACTTTACTTTTTATTTTGCCATTATCGTTAAAACGCAAAGTTTTTAAACCATTTTTATTAGTTTTCCTTTAAAAATAGACATTCTATGTACTTTTGAATATAATTCACATGCTAAAAACATTACCTACTTACTTTTTAACATAAAAAATATCTTAATGTACCTCATTTAATGACCGGAACTATCTTTACGCCCCTTCACAAAATTTGCCAGCCTTCAACCGAGGCCACGTTAATTTTCAACAAAGCCCGGCCCCTACTTGATCTCTTGATGCTTTCGGTAAGCATCTACCCAATTTGTCATATTTTCCGTAGGTTGTTATAAAAATTGTGCAATATTTCATCATGAAATTGCTGAAAATGCATAAACTTTGAGCATCCACCTACCAAAATTGAAATGAAGAATCTTGGTCTTGTTAAAGTATTTTCTCAAAATTGAAGTTTGTAAATCACTGCAAGATAGTTTGTTATCTCAATGAACACATGTGATGAATTTGTTAATTGAGAGGCTGACACTTTGATTGAGATGAATCACAAACTATGCGACTAGGAGGATCGAACACTGATTGAGAAGGACTAGTATGAACGTCTTGTTCAAACATTGGTATATAGTTAGGAACCACTAGGCCAACTATTGCATATGTTGAGAGTTGTTGGCCAATTTAATCCATGCTCCTAGTATTGGACATAGAATAGAATGACGCGGAGATATCTCAAATGCTTGTTAATTTCAAAACACAAGCACATTCGTGTTCAAGAATATACAACTTGAGTTGGGGTACCAAACGATTTCTTAAAAGTGAAAAGACTCTACCCTATCATGATCAAGTATGTAGGCTCACGTGAGTGACATAATTACTCATTAAATCAAAATTCACACAAAAGATGGGACACCCAAATTAAAACCAAATGAAATTGAGTATTGATGAGTCATTATGATACTATATATTTTACCCTTAATATTAATTTATTAGTTATTTTGGTAAAACTTTATTACTTTGAATTATATTTCTAATGTAGGACATCCGACTTCCTCTTAAGTAAAAAGTGATCGAACAGATGAATTTTGAAATGATTCTAATTGAAGAATGTTCATGAGTGTTTCAAGATGTTCGTGTCAAAATTCCAAATTTTTCTACCAAATATCAATGTGTGACAAATTGAGATGGCAATTATGGCACTGTAGCTGCTAATGTGCTAGCCAGTTGGGCAGTACGCATTCTTTGTATTGGAATTTAGTTGTTGAATTGAATGGTTCAAAGATTCTGTAGCCGGCCCTTTGCACAGTGACGCGTGGGAGGGAACCAGCTGTATCCTCTACTCTGTCTATGTACTATGCATCTGGTCCGGTCTGCTTGGGTTGGGGAGCCGTCCGTTACAACCACATCACTAATTATTTTTGGTTTTCCTTTCTATAACTTTACATTCATACATCGAGAGAGGGAAACAGCTGTTTTCCTTTTCTATAGCCTGAGCCTCATCACATGGTGACTCGATTCATTCAACACGTAAAGTGTACAATTGCAACTCAGCCAGCACCAACTTGACAACAACTTGTATGTAACATGTATATATTGTCATGGTATCCCATGCCACTAATACAACAATCACATCTAAAAGATTCTCTCATGCAATCAAGAATTAGTTTTAGTAAGATCCATTACCATCCAATAGATGTTTACATAATAAATTTGATGATATGAGAAAAATATTACACGATGTAAAGAGAAACTTACAAATGTTATATTATTCGCACATGATACCACAGGGATGCCACGACTGCGGTGGCGTAAGCTCTCAGGTGGTTGAGAATCTCTCGCCATGTAAAGAGACTTGCACTGTTATGTCAAAGAAAAGAAAACTTGTATTCTATTGAATCACTTCCCTTCTGTTTTAAACTGGACTCGAAAAGAGTCGAGCTAATAAACTGAATCGAGTACACAAAACACCAGACCCACATTAACATCATTTTCACGTAACCAATACACATTACACGATTCAAATTAAATGCAATTCGAGCTCGGGCAGCTCAAATGGAGGGACAGAAACTAACTAAAAAAAAATTAATCTTTATTAACATAACATAACTCACCACAAGCAAAGCAAGCAACAAGCAACATACACAATGGTAGAAAAGCATCAGAAAAAGCAGCAGCAGCAGCAGCGTCTTTGGTTCCTTTTTTTTTTTTTTTTTCCTTCATCTTTTGTTCTTCACGCTTATAATAATAATAATAATTAATGAAACCAATCTGTAACTGGTGTGAAAGAAAACTGCAAACTAAAAGGAAAATAATAAATCCCTATACGCGCACAAAAGAATTGCCTATATATATAACATATATGTATATAATAATAATATTATTATGGGAATGCCCTTGCAAACTCTGTTAATTTACCTAGTTTTAATAACTGCATGTATTCAGAAAAACTTTTCCAGCGTAGCTTTAAAATAGGAACTGCCCCCATTGCCCAGCAAAAACAAGGCAACGACGAGCACAATTGCCACTACAGCCCACATCCAAGGCTGCATCCTTCTCTTACTGCGGTTGCGAAGAGGCAGAGGCATGGATTTTACCTTGGTTTGCTTTGTCAACTGCGAGGATTTCTGAGACCTCTTTGTTACTGTCACCGGTTTCTCCCTGGTTTCAGGCTCCTTAAGAATTTCAGTTGGTGCCTCTGAGCTTGGTTCTAGAGCACAGTCTACTTCACTAATATCATTTGTAGCCTTTGTTGTAGTCGCCATCTTTCTTTCCTTCTTCCTTATCCTCTTCTCCCTTTCCTGCACAAGATACAAGCCATCGCACGATTGATATACAGAAGAAAAGAATATTGCATCACATGGGAACTCTCTATATCTAGAATGCCTACTAGACTTTCATGGAATTGTAAAGTTAAAGGTGATGAAATTTTACCTTCTCTTTCTCCTCCGCTTCCTTCTGCGCTCTTATGGCAGCTCTGGCTTGGGCCTTCTCCGCTATTCTTTTTTTCCTCTCCTGTGCTTCCTTAGCTTTGGCCTTCTCCTCCAGTCTACGCTGCTCTCTCAACCTAGCTTCTGCTTCTTCCTTTCTCAATTCTTCTGTCTTTCTGGCCAACTCTTCTTCCTCTTTTGTTAATTTAGGGACTTCTACCTTTTCCTCTTCAAAATTGTTTCTTTCAGAAGCAGTTTCTGGGATAATTTCTGAGGAAGCGGATTTCACAGGCTTCTTCATTTTAGCTATCTCATTTTTCTGTTGAACAACCTTCATTGAAGATATGTCATCTGGTTGTTCAGCCTCCTCAGGGGCAACTTGCTTTGGTTGTTCAGGAGTGGAAACCACTGTTGCCAAATTATTCTTGGTTGCTCTTACGATATCAGGTATTACAGGGGGCTCCTCATCAGGACCAAGAGAGCGCCCATCTGAGGTTCTCAACCTCCTTAATGTGCTCCTGTTGTTGCATCTCAAGTATTCTTTCCGGAAATCATCATTATTATTCCAGAGTTCCATAACTGTTTCCACCTAAACAATTGAATTTCAGCCAATTCACACATAAGCTATTGTTCCAGATTCTTCAACAAAAAAAGGTAGGGGGAAACACGCACGCAACAACAATAGGGCTTCATAAGCTAACCTGATTGATACACAAATGTTGTAGTTGTTCCCTATCTCCGCTCAGTGCCAGATTATTAGCAGCCTTCGCATCATCCTTGTACCTCCAAAAGTATTTGTTCTGCAGGAATAAGAGGGTTAATATCGCTCTTCTAAATTTGCAACAACATATCACAAGATAAAAGCATGTACAACAAAACGAAAAACACAAAAGCATAAACCTTCAAAGTATTTGATTTATCAATGGGAGAACATAGACCTTCAAAGTGTTTGATTTATCATTGGGAGAAACATGTTATGAGCAAACTTAAACGTAAGAAGGCTGAAAACCTTAAACACACATCTTTTTAATGGTGACATAATTAGCATCAGAACACGCTCAATAGCGTATTTGTATGTGCATGTGTGCACTGTAAAGAGAGGATAATTCTAACAGTTATAACGTTTTTTATCGAGGGAATGCAAACACCTTTTCATATTGTTTTTTCCTCAGACCCTGTAAATGTGCATATGCTTCTTGACGAATGTCATCTGCAGCTCTAAACTGAGAAAGTATTTCGTTCAGCATATTATTTTCTTCATTAAATTTCTTCTTAGCAACTTGAGTGACTGCCTCTGCTTTGAGAAGATTTTCTCTGAGTAGATCCATTTCCTTCCTCAGAACCTGTAATAATGGAAGATCATATAAATACCTTAATAGCTCACTAATGCTACCAGTTAATAACAAGGGGTCGTCTAACTCTGACAGTATTAAACACTCACTAATCTCGATTCTGGGCAAAAGAAAAGTATACTACAACTTGAGTATGATTTAGGTGTTTATATTTGAAATAGATCTCAGCATAAGACTTCCATATGAACTATATAACATAGCACATCTTCCATAGGACCCAGACCGGTTAACTAATAAATAGAAAATGACAAGTACAATTGAAATATACTACCTTTGAGCTCTGTTCAACATGGTCTTTCTGGTCTAAAGCTTCTTGAACTTCATCCTGCTTACCCAGGCTAGAAGAGAGCTGTTCACGAAGTTGCTTCAGTTGCTTAATTTCTCGAATAAATTGCTTTTCTTCCTTCAAAGGCAAGGTCTCATGCTCCATACTGTGTTCCATATTGCGTATCTACTCATGAAACAAAATTGAAGGACGCAGACATTCATGAATATACAAACATATTCAAATAGTAACATAAATATATGGTAGTGATTGATAGTACTGAGGGGAAGATAAGAGATAACTTACTTTATAATCCAAATCCTCAATAGAGATTGCATTCTTCACTTTGTTAATCATTAATTGAACAGAATCCATTTCCTTGCGCTTGGCCTTAAACAGGTCTCGTGCAGCTCTCTCTTCAGATCTGGCAGCTTCAAATTTATCGAAATACTCCTTACAAGTAGCCTAGCCATAAAAGAACCCCAACGGTTAACGTGGCAAGATATAAAATACTACAAACAAAATATAGTCGAAGCCATTTGCAAAAGATTTCTTACCCTTTTCATTTGGATTTTGGAACGAATAGCATCCCGGCTTTTAGTTTTTTCTTCAACATGTAACTGAGCCTGTTTAATCTCTTCTTTTAAATTTTCATCATCATATCTTGGAATCTTTATCAAGAAGTAGAACGGCCTTTTTTCTACCTCAGCACCCTTATTCTGCCCTTCCACAGCATCAGCAGTGGAAACTTCCCCAGAAGAAGCTGGGGGTTCAGATCCAAGTATTCCGCCAGTGCGCTCCACTTCTTGATGTGTTGAATTAACATCACTTTCAATTTGAACATCATCCAGGTTGCAAGTTAGCGGCCTTCCATTCTCCACAAAAGTGCCATTCTCAACAAAAGAGTCATTCAGAATCGTGGATTCGGATGTGTTGAATTCATCATCGGGGATAGCTCTGCTTCTCAGAGCAGATGTACTCTGAACTTCAGACGCTAGCTTTTCATCAATATCTGGCTTAGCAGGATAGCTAGCTTCATTTGCACTGTTGTCAGAAACAGATATAGGAGGGCTGGCAACACATTCAACCTCCAAATTTGACAAACCAGCATCTACACCAACAGAATCATGGCTGGTCTTGGGATCTGATATTGCACCATTTGCTGTGAAACTCGACAGAGTATCATCTTCATTGGGAACACCCTCCAATTCAATTTCTGATTTTGAATTGTGTTCTGATATTGTGTCATTAGGTGTGAAACTTGACAGGGTTTCATCAATAATGAGTACACTTTCAGATTCAACTTCTGATTTTGAATTGGGTTCTTCTGATATTGCATCATTTGGTGGGAAATTTGACAAAGTATCATCTGCAACGAGCGGACACTCAGATTCAACTTCTGAGTTTAATTTGGGTTCTTCCGATATTGCACCATTCGATGGGAAACTTGAGGTATCATCCACAGCTGGCTGACTCTCAGATTCAACTTCTGCTCTTGAAATGGGTTCTTCTGATATTGCATCATTGGTTGGGAAACTTGGCAGATTATCATCTACAACGGGCGCACTTTCAGATTCAACTTCAGATTTTGAATTTGGTTCTTCTGATACTGCATCATTCGGTGGGAAACTTGGCAGAGTATCATCCACAAGAGGCGCACTTCCATATTCAACTTCTGCTTTTGAATTGGATTCTTCTGACATTTCATCATTGGGTGGGAAACTTGGCAGAGTATCATCTACAACAGGCGCACTTTCTGATTCAACTTCTGATTTTGAAGTGGGTTCCTCTGATCTTGCATCATTTGGTGGGGAACTTGACAGAGTATCATCGACAACTAGGGCTCTCTCAGATTCAACTTCTGATTTTGGATGGGGTTCTTTTGATATAGTATCATTAGGTGGGAAACTTGACAGAGTATCATCGACAACTAGGGCTCTCTGAGGTTCAACTTCTGATTTTGGATGGGGTTCTTTTGATATAGTATCATTAGGTGGGAAACTTGACAGAGTATCATCGACAACTAAGGCTCTCTGAGGTTCAACTTCTGATTTTGGATGGGGTTCTTTTGATATAGTATCATTAGGTGGGAAACTTGACAGAGTATCATCGACAACTAGGGCTCTCTGAGGTTCAACTTCTGATTTTGGATGGGGTTCTTTTGATATAGTATCATTAGGTGGGAAACTTGACAGAGTATCATCTACAACGAGCCCAATCTCCAATTCAATTTCTGATTTTGAATTGGGTTCTGATATTGCATCATTAGGTGGGGAACTTGACTGTGTATCATCTATAACCGGTCCCTTCTCAGCTTCAATTTCTGAGTCTGAATGCACAAGGGGGCAAGGATTGGGGACTTCACTACTCTTCTCAGTTAACTTTACAGCATCAAGCTCTGGCCTCACGTCATCAACAGCGCAAGTTGAAACATCTTCCGTAGGTGGAGAAACCCCATTCTCAGCCTTTTGATCTCCTATTATATCATTATCAGCAACAGTTGAAAAGCTTTCACCATTTTCGACAGCTACTTTCTCCAAACTATCAGCATTTTCACACAATCCATCATTCTCTTCAGGTGCATCAACCGAGTCATTTGTAACTAGAGGCACATGAGCATTCGGCAAGCCATCTCCAGTACTTTGATCAGAGACACAGCCGTTGACAACTTGAGTAGCTGGCTTTGTCGCATCTTGGAGAGAGGCATCTTCAAAAATTACTGTGGCAGACGAGGCGTGGCCATATTCAGAAGATCCATTCAGTTCATGAGCATGACAAGCAGGCAAGCCGTCTGCAGTAGCTTCCTTGGACTCGGGATCACCCACAACTTGGTCAGCCAACGACAGGGTTGGGGTTGGCATTGAATCATGCCCCGTCTCTTGGCCTAGATCCCTCGAAGCATCTTTCAAGGGAACCTCCTCGGCTACTTCTGGATCCTTATCAGTCTCTGCTCCGTCAGACACCACCACCTCCCCGTCATTGAGATGTGAGGCTTCTGCGGCAGCCTTGTTGAGTAAATGAGATTGGGAATTGTCCTTTTGAGCCTCCGAGTGAAGAACAACACTGCCATTGTTCTGAACAACGCTACTGTTTGGATCAGACTCGACAGGGTATTGGGAAACAATGGCATCACTCCCGGTCACAAAGACATAAGAGCTGTCAGTGTCGGTGTCGTGCTTAGAAAAACCATTGTCACTCTGATTCCCATTGCCATTCCCAACACTGACATTGACATTGACATTGACAACCTCGCCTTTGGACACCTCTGATTCACAGGCATCAAGGTGCACATCCACGCCGGCCGTCATTGCAATCCGACTCAAAATCCAACAACAACTACTACAGCAATACCGATCTAATTCACATACAAAGTTGGAAAAATTAAAAGTTAGAAGCGAATGAATTCAGTGTTTGGAGTGAATTAACAATAGAAAAAGAAAGTTTAAGCAGTGCGAGATCTAACGTTAGGAGATGAGAAATTGGACTTACCGGTGCAGATCGAACAAGCGGGTGTGAACGCAGCAGTCGAACGGAGCAGAGGAGAGCAGATCGAGAGGTAGATCAGCCAACCGACATCAAATGCAGTGGATTATGCAATGTATAAGGGCGTGTTTGTGTATAAGGGCCTGTTTGTGTACAAGTAAAATAAATCTACAGCCTATATATATAGGTAGAGACGAGAGAGAGAGAGAGAGAGAGAGAGGAAGGAAGCGGCAGAACACAGCTGGCGAAGGAAGAAGAGGAGAGAGTTTGTGTTCTGTTACAACTTGTGGTAGAGGTACAGGAGACTCGACTCTCCCCCTCTCGACTAATACACTCTTCACTAATACAAATATTAATATAATTCATTTTCCCTACGCGCTTCTTTGTCTTTGTATCCGATTTAGACTTTTTCTTAATTATTATTTATAATTAATTTAAAGATAAATATCTCCATCTCGTTTTCCCTTTTTTCTTCATATACGTCTGTATATCACTGTCTGCTTTTTTGATGTTGATTCAATTAATTCTTCCATTCATTTATCAGCAAATTTCATTACAAACATCTAAAAATAAAATTAATCACTTTTTTTTATAAATATAATTAGGTTGGGTTATAAAAAAATAAAGAAATTACAACTATTTTTTTTTAAATATTATGCATTTCATAATCTTTTGGTAGATGATAACTCTTAAATTTAAGATATATATATCTTTCTTTTTTTTTTCTTTTTTAATAAACAATATTATCTATACTAAGACATACTCTAATCTTTAGAGTAAAACTCAAATTTTAGGTTTTACTAAACATCTCCCAACTTGCTCCAAACCTTAGGCCAAGTATAAATTTTAATCCAAAACTTATTTATGGGGCAAATTTAGCTCAGAAGTCCCCAGGTTAGTGGACTGGCCCACCATGTAACATCCCATGTGACATCCCACATCGCCTAGGGGAGTGATCCTTAAATGTATATTCTCATCCCTACTTAGCACGAGGCTTTTTGGGAGCTCACTGGCTTCGGGTTCCATAGGAACTCCGAAGTTAAGCGAGAAGGGGGCTACAGCAATCCCATGATGGGTGATCCACTGGGAAGTTGCTCGTGAGTTCCCAAAAACAAAATCGTGAGGAAATCGTAAGCCCAAAGCGGACAATATCGTGTTACGGTGGTGGAGTGGGCCCGGGAAGTGATCCGTCCCGGGCCAGGATGTGACAATTTGGTATCATAGCCTAACCCTGGCCGCGTGTGTGCCAACAAGGACGTCGGGTCCCTAAGGGGGGTGGATTGTGACATCCCACATCGCCCAGGGGAGTGATCCTTAAATGTATATTCTCATCCCTACTTAGCACGAGGTCTTTTAGGAGCTCACTGGCTTCGGGTTCCGTAGGAACTTCGAAGTTAAGCGAGAAGGGGGCTAGAGCAATCCCATGATGGGTGACCCACTGGGAAGTTGCTCGTGAGTTCCCAAAAACAAAACCGTGAGGGAATGGTAAGCCCAAAGCGGACAATATCGTGCTACAGTGGTGGAGCGGGCCCCGGAAGTGGTCTAGCCCAGGCCGGGATGTGACATCCCACATCACCCAAGAGAGTGGATCCTATAAGCTTTAGATGTATATTCTCATCTCTACCTAGCACGAAACTTTTTGGGAGCTCACTGGCTTTGGAGCTCATTGGAACTCCAAAGTTAAGCGAGTTCGTGCGAGAGCAATCTAAGGATGGGTGACCTACTAGGAAGTTCTCATGTAAATTCCTATAAACAAAAACGTGAGGGCGTGGTCGGGGCCCAAAAAGGACAATATCGTGCTACGGTGGAGTCGAGCCCAAGATGTGGCAAGGGCCTAGGCCGGGATGTGACACACTATATATTTGTATTTTTTTTTAGTTTTATATTTATAAATTCATTGAATCCAACAGTTAAGATCTAATGTTGTCAAATCTAATGGTTAAAAAAAATTTAACAATCCAAATTTAAATCTAACGGCTAAAATAATAATAAAAAAAAATCTTATGTGTTTCATATTCGTTCATAGTGTTTCACAAGTTTCATAATGTCGGTTTAGTAATTTTTCAATATTTATCGAAATCTAAATATTTTTAGATTAAAATGTGCATAAAATTAAATTATGATGGTCTACATAATTTTATTTTTTTCTAAAAGTTATTGTAAGAAAAAAAATTATTCTAAATTCATTCTTTAATAATATGGGACTAAAAATTTAACCTGCAAGGGTTTGAGATGGTCAGGAGGAGAGGGTAGGCTTAGCCTTGGCTAGCAATAATGTGGTTCAAACTTGCATTTGGCGAGAACCGAACCTAGGACCTCTCGTTTATAAGTGAAGTGAAATACCACTAGGTCATAGTATTAAGTGGCGAAATTTAAGATATATTGGATATGGAAGTTGGTGGAGATTAAAACATAAATAGCTATGAAGGAAATTCATTTCTTCTAATTCCATTATTTTAAAAAGGATTTGAATGGGTAAAATTTCTTCATGAATAATATTTCTTCTTATTATCTACTAAGAAGGCCATAATTTTATAATTTCTCCCATCAACATACCATTTTAATCAAATCGTGTGTACCAAACGAGCATGCATACTACTAGTTTGTAAGCTCTATATCTACCAAGACACGTTTTATTTGCTACATTTGGAGTATCAATTCTCGAATCTTGACCTAATAGTATTTTTTTTTAAAACTATGTAAATGAGCTCCTAATTAAATTTTTGAGAGAGAATAAAAAAGTTCATGTCTAATCACACCCCTTTTTCCTCCTCTATCATTCTTTAATCATAAAAAAAATTCGAGCTTCTAGATACGAGGGAAAAAAAATCTCATCTCAACATGTTTAAAGGGACGTTGTTTATCGGTTAGCGAGGTTGGGACTGAAAGTTGGTATGAGGAATCTCCTAATTTGATTATCATTAGTTATTTGAGGATAGTTACAATTATTTTTGGTGCATGGTACCTTTTTCTCTTCGACCGAGTTAAGTATGTGGCAAGATTTAATGAGGCTTCCATCTCATCTTTTGATGAATTTCATACTTCTTCTCAACCAAAAAAAGAAAAAGAAAACTCATTTGTTCTCGTGTTGGGTTATATGAACATCTCTAACGAATATGTCAACTGCAAAACGTAAAATTTAAATTTGATGACTCATACAATAGTCGTCGTTTTTTTTACAGTCGCTTGGAGTTGCAGATAAGATGTACATTGGCAACGTAGGTGCAAATATAGTGTACAATCCAAACAAGATTTACATTGATTTGAGTAGTGTAAACACATTATTGTGTAAGGGGTCTGAAATGTGTTCAAGCAAGTTGTGAACAGGACCTTTACCTGTCAAAGCAGCTTGACTGTAGAAGCCTAACCAGGCCACCATAGCTAGGCGCCCATTTTTTATCTCCTTCACCTTCAGCTCCTCAAAGGCTACGGGGTCTTTGGCGAGGTTCAAGGGATCAAAAAGCTCTCCTCCCGGGTAATTAACATCGCCTGGCAGGTATATTCCCAAAGGCTCTAATGCTTCAATCCCACAATACCTTGCATATTCAGGTCCAACCTAGTTACCAATCAAATGTTTACAATAAATTACATGTTTGCATTCACAAGTTGGGAAATTCATGCTACAATCAGAATATGAGAAGAACCAAATCTCTAAGGCAGAGCTGTATCTTTTCACCAACTTAGTAACATGAATGATTTAACTAGAAATAGTGTGGAGTGGTTGTCATAAAGCATAATTTAGAAATGCGGACACAATGTCTACATGTCCATGCGATGAAAGAAACAGCGAAATGAACCCCTTTGTGACAAGGAATTATTCCGTATTATGCCATAAAGACTTTCCTTTTGGGGACAGTGAGTTCTTCTAGACTATGCCAAGAAAACAATTTTTGATCCCAAAGTTTTAAGTGCTAAATGCATCACAGGAATGAATGAGCAATAGATATCCGGAAGAGTAAATTTTTTTTTCAGGTTCCCAATGAACAACATGAGCCCCAGTTCAGACAACATGCACCAAGCATAATCTCAATCACTGGGTTAAAACCATTGAATTTCATCACTTAGTCCATTCTACTTTCTAGGGTACCAATCATATGTTACAATTTTATGAATATTGAAAGTAAAAGATCGGAGCTTTAAAAATTCATTACCATCAGGAGAACTTGGCATATGGCTATGACAATCACTCCTTGGCTTCCTGCTACATGGAGCCCCGGGATACCAAGGTAGTCTAGTGTGTCTCCCTGGTGAACATTGATGATAAGTCAGAAGGAAAAGAAAGTTAAAAATAACAATTCACCTAATATGTTGCTCACACCAAACTATATAAGATGTTTATTTAAATTGAAGGAGACGGATATAACGGGTGACTCTGAGGTAATGCAACTGAAATAGTTGAAAATTCCTCAGCTGGTATTCACTATTCACTTCAGGGAGAAACTTAACCGACCATGGTATTTTAGCAAATTATGGCAAGATATAAGAACTTATCCTTATCATTTCTATTCCCACCTTGACCTATCCTTGCACGGGAGCGTTGCAACAATTATATCACGATATTTTGTAGGTAGATTAGCTTGCATAAGAGAGGCTCGCAGAAGCCAAAAACATGGTTTGAACCAAAAGCATCAGTATTTGAATCATAAATAACTTAAACAGTTAGTGGCTGGCAAACCTACAAACTTTGTAACGTCATGTCTCAGTGACAGGATGCTATGTCAATTAGTTTAGTCATCTTGATGAGTAAGCATCTTATTTGTCAATTAGCTAACTAACAGTTAATTATGTGATTAGCAATTAGTTAATTCATGGGTCTTTAGGTGAACTTGCAGCCAGCTATATATAGCTGAGGTTGTGTAATTGTAAGTCAGTTAAGTGAATGATATGCGAGAGTTCTTAAATGTGATTCTGTTTCTCTTTCAGTGTCAAGGTTTAAACAGGGTTCTATTACTCTAAATAGCAGGCTATAATGGAATCAGGAAAGCTGATCATCTAAAACATTATGACTCAACTAACAATATCGTTAGCAGTTAAAACTTAAAACCATTTGAAAACTTCAAAGCAGAATCTACCAACCAAAAAAAAGACGCTACAACTGACTATCTGTTTACTAATCCATGATATCATGACAAAATTCATCATAACTCACTCGTCTCTCATAAGTTTCTCCTTCTATTTCACATCCCTATCGTTTCAGCTAGATTAATATATTCATCATCCCTTTAGAACGCAAGGTCCAGTAGGCTGGTCTCCATTTTCTTCAGCAAATCTAAGACATGGTTTAATTGCACAAGAAAAGGTCCAACAAAATTGATCAATAAAAGAAGATTGATTCCAGCACAGAAATAATAACCTTAAGTTTTGAATAGCCAACTCGCCACCATACTGGTTCAACAAAATGAAAGGCTCCTAACAGATCTAATATTTCAGGAACCAAAGCACCAAGGGCAGCTAGCATAGCCCAACGAGCATGGAGTATTTCAAAGCTGCAGGGTAACAAAGAAGAATACACAGATTATTGACAACTTAAAGCCATGCACAAGCAAATATCACACTGCACATAGTATAACAAAATGAAAGATCCTGAGAGGTTTAATATTCAGGAACCATGGCACGATGACACTGGAGTATTTGGAACCCGTGGGTCACAACCTAACCCTAGTTGTGATGCCCAAGGCCTCTTCGAGAGATTCCTAGAACCCTACCAGCATGATGCTATTCTTTTTTATTATAATTTTGTCTCCTCGTTCCATTGATTTCCTATTATTCTTGCTCGACACAATGACAGCAATTAAAGACTTCATTCAGTCAAACATTAATCTTTTTCTTTTGATCCTGCATCAAAATTCTTTCCAAATTTAGTCAAGCATCAATCTTTTTCTGCAAATTAAACTTTGGAATCTCTGTAGAAGTGGACAATTAGCCATGGAGAGTACTACAAAATTACTTAGAACAAGATCTGTATGAAAGCAGTAACAATATTGTGATAAATCACAAAGAAAGTTGAAAGGCTGTAGGTTACAACTAGTGTGGTTAACAACGCCTAACCTACCAATTTCTATTCCAAAGTTGAAAATTGTGAAAATTACCATCTCAGTTAAAATTGTGTAGGATTCTGCGGTCAAATTTTAACAACTAGCAATGTGAAGATTATATTGAAGATCATCCCCAATATCGATATCAGAAATGGAACCAAAAAAAAGGGACTTACTTAAAATACTTTTGGAAAGCAACAGGATCCTTGCTCAGACCTATAACATCAAAACCATAATCCCCAGGTAGTTCTCCAGTAAGATATGCAGGATAATCATATGGAATTGGGCCAAGCCAACGGGGACGCCCTTCTCCGTACCACAAGCTGTGAAGTAGGAGAGTTTACCATGCAGTGAATACATATTTATAAGAAATTAGGAATTCTATACAGGTATTCATGGTCAACATATCTTTAGTGACAGAAGCTAAAAAACCAATGAATTAAGATTTCCATACAAAGTAATGCGAAAAGCACTATGTTTGCTCTTCGGTCAATATATGGTTAGTAGTTAGTCGATTTGGTACTCCACAGAAAACATGATCCTCAAGAACATGGCATACATATGCAGCAAATGGTTAGTTTGTACCAGACCTGAGAAACTGAGAAACTGCGATTAGGCAGTGGTTATGAACTTATGACCATGTTATAGATGGAAATATCCACCAAAAGTAGGCACAATTAGCTGCTGATGCTGCCATTAATCATCATTAATGGGTTGGATTGTATAATAGTCTAGTACAGACCAGTCACCAGAGAGCATAAAAACGACCATTGGGTACTGAAAACACTCTTCTATATGGCTACATGGATGGATGGATGACATGTCCTAACATTGCAAACTGGAAGACAGATAGAACAAAAACGATCCACAAGCTTTTTAGTTGGTAGGCCTTCCACAGTAGTTTGAGTGAGTGTGATACCTATATATAGGAATCAGGCAACCTGAATTTGATACTTACAAGTTTATAACACTACTTCTACACTAGTATGAGTTCAATATATTGATATCACACTCATGAGTTTAATATAACACACTCATGAGTTCATATATTGGTATTACACTTCAATTTTCAGGCCCACTGTAGGAGTGTGATTCCTATATGAGTTCAATATATTGGTATCACAGCCACTTTAAGCACCAGCACCAGTTGAGTAGAGTCGGCACTGAAATTTTTTGCTAGAGATATATTTTACTCTTACACACTAGCTGGTGAGCTGTGTTTATCATATATTAATCGTTGCCTTATTCATTGCAGGTGTGCTAGTTAGACATAAGATTACAAACTAACAGAAATGCCTATATACGAGCGAATGGAAATGAGCTTTACCTGCGTTTTCGTGCGATTTGGGCGGAGGCCCTAAAGGTGGAAGAATTCTCCGCAGCAAGTTTCTTCCTTTCCTCCAACCGCTTCTGCAGAGACTGTCCGAGTGCGCTATTGGCTATGGCTTTCACGGCCGTGAATGGAATGGCAGAGAATACCACAACTCCCACAAGCTGAAGGAACGGTGAACCAAAACCAACAACAACGCATAATACATATAAATCCATCATCAATTAGCTAATTATTAATTAAAATTTGAATATATGAAATGGAGAGGAAGAGAGACAGAGGTGACCTCTTGCCATGAAGCTTTGCATACACCAAAACGAGGAGGAGGAGGAGACTTTTGGTTGTTTGGGGATTTGAGGTTGAGGTTTAGGGGGGGAAGAGACGGAGGATGCCCAAAGAAAGAGGAGTAAGCTAAACAAGAAGGCGGCCAAGCTCCTCCGAGTCCTCCTCCCAGAACAGCCATTCCCATGCTGCTGCTCTTAATCATATTCTAGCCGTTAATCAGTTACTTGGTTGCAAGGTCCACAGTTTCTCTCCAAATGCTTACTCTACGCCTCTCTATCAAAACTTGCTAGAATCTGATACCAAATTAAACTGTTTATTGTGCGTTCTAGCAGAACTTTTTATTCTTTAGTGTAAAAATATCAATGTTATTAGAAATTAAAATCTTGCTAAAATCTGTTTTGGGTTTCATTATTTACTCCTTTTTTTTATTTTAAGTTTGGCCTTTATACCTGTAAAATGGAAAATCAGTTTTTTTTTTTTTTTAATAAGATTATCTAAACTACCTTGGAAAAGGCCTTGAACCTGTGTTGCAGCAAATTAAAGAGAAATATCTTATCCATTAAGGTAATTCATCACTTGCAATTTTGACACACGATAAAATAATCGATCTGTTGTGTGAAAGTGGGCGGTATACATGGTCTTGGATGCTCTATCCGCTATTGATACAATTTTGACAAACTTAATTTAATCTTTTCTGGTTTTCATTTCTGCACAAATAATGTTCAAGCATGAATATCAATGCCCAAAATTTAGAGTTTGTTTTTCTCATTCCTGTTAATTTTAATATAGCGTTACCCCCTCTAAAATAGGGTCACATGTGAAAAAAAAAAGACATATTTAGTGTTAGTCAATGCATATGGATTTTATTTATTTTTTTTTTTTCTGAAGAGAAAAACAATCCAACACATAACATTTCAATGAATGACATCTAAACTGAAGCAAAAAAATCATTTTCCCATCGCGATCTACACCAGCAAAATAGAAAAGATTTAACTTTTTCCTGGTCTCTATGGTTACACCGCACTCGGCACATAGAGGGGTACTACTGTTGAGTTGATATGGATCCGCTTATCCATTTGATCAAAGCCTCTAGTGATGAGTGAGAAGTTAGCTCAGCATTTGTTTTGCTCAATGTTTGTGAGTAGCCCATGCCAACTGCCATGGTAAAAACCATGTTTGTAAGTAGGTATATATGCGTTGATCAAGGGCTATCCTAGCTGCCACCTTAATTGGATCCCATTGAAATTGGACTGCCAGTCTAGTGCCAAATAAAGTAGTGCAGGATATTCCAAACAACATATTGCAATCAAGCAAACCCAATCAGAAGGACACCGCGATCAATTCAACACCACAGTAAACAATAATAATAATACTTTCAATATTACACACATTATTTGGGCAACCAGTTAACTGATGCTTTTACACTAACAAGATATTACAGATGCAGCAATAACCAGGATCCATGCATCACTCGATGACGGGGAAGGAAGCAAGCAAGTTTTGGTGGATTTCAATTCTGAAATCTGGAATCTGGAGTCTGGAATCTGGAATAATTAATCCTCGTAGATTCGGCACTCGTCCGTCTCCGGATTCTCCCGACAAAATGACTCGAGGGGATCTTTGTGCTTTTCCAATTTGAGCCTAAGATCGGCCTTGGCTTGGCTCACCTCCTCCACCTCGTCCCACGCCACCTTGCACTCGTCCGTCTTCGGATCTCCCTCGCAAACCTCCCTTGCTTCCATCACCTTCTTCTCAATCATCTCCGTCAGCTGCTTCTCCCTCATCTGCGTCCCTTTGAACTTACCCTGCACCGCCATCGCCACCATCACGCCTCTCATCCTCCTCCTCCCCCTACCTCCTCCTAAATCCAATGATCTCAAACTCAAAGATGCCGTCGCTGATAAATCCTTCATCTTCGTCAAGTATCCTCTTCCTGTTCCCACTCCTGACGGTACACACGCCATCTGCGGTTGCTTTCCAAAACAAACGATCGATCCAAGTCTCCGCTCCCCTTCTCTTCTGTTCAAGGGACTTCTTCACACATCAGACTCTCGCTTTCTAGATGCATACAAATCAAACCATACTTATTGGTGAGGTCCCTACTTCCCATCATAAAATTACCTAAATGCCCTCAAGTGCTAATTCTTTTTGGACAATTTGTTTCTTGCCCTTTGTGACATTATCGCAATTGCAACGGGGACAGTCATCCTTATCCACAACATGAGCAATCTTTTGCCATCTCGAATAAGGCATCGTTTGGTTGTCGACTGTAAGAGTGGGAAATAAGAAAATAATTCTTTCTTTTTGTCAATTCTAGGATCGAATAGTTTTATGGAATTTTTTTTAAAACAAACAATATTATTTACATTAATATATACAGATAAGTTTAGTTTCACAATAAGTTAGTAATAACATAGTTTAAATTCGCCTCTAGTAAGAATCAAACCTAAAATCTCTCACTTACAAATGAAAAAAATACCACTAGACCGTATTCTAAGTTGCAATTTAGAAAGAAAAATAGTTAAATTAAAATAAGCAAATTGATTTTTTTACTCTTTGAAGTAGGGTGGCAGAGGTTGACGAAAATTTCAGAAACTTAACAACAGGAAGAAATTGACTAATTATAAGATTTAAGGATGGTCACCTAAAATTAAAGTTTAGATAAACAAATCGGCAACTCCGGCAAGTTTAAAGGAGAAATTGGCCAATGTCTTTGAGTGTTTTGGTTTTCAATGAGATTCACTTGGATAAAGAATCGTGTTTGGTAGGTGTAAATTGCTTTTGACATGTGGCTTTCCAAGTTCCAAAAGTAAACTAAGTAGCTCATTAAATGAAAACTAATGAAAATATTTGAAAACTTTGAGTTTTAACGATAAGGACAAAATAAAAGGTAAAATGAATAGTATCAGAATTGATTTTTTAGTGTAAAAATATGATTTTTCGTTAAAGTGAACAATACCGAGAGTTTTTCATTGAAGTTCTCTTAGTAAAATAAGATAAGACTGCTTAATTGTAATAGTCTATATTATTGTAATTATTTTAGAGTAATTTTCACACACTCTTTTTTATCTCTTACATATTCTTGTTAAATTTTGTTCATTAAGTCTTTTTCAATTCATTCAATCCGATGATCAAAAATTGAAAAGAGTGTATGAGAAATAAAAATAAGTGTGTAAATAACACCATTGTTTTAATTTCTTTAATGACATCCTATTACAGATTTTATGAAATGACATATCATATGCTTTTTAGATTATGTAAATTTGTAAAATTTCATACAAAGAAAAGAGACTACATATTCTGTCAAGTAAGTACTGGTTTGGTAGTGCTTAAATTATTTTAAAAGCCAGTATGAAAAAAAGTTGGAAATTTTTTTTGTTTCTCAAGTACGTCGCCAACCTCAACGAAGGACATCATCGTCAACTCTTTGAAGAGCTAATTGCTTTAAAGCTAAGAGCTTGAATAGGAAACATCAAAATTCTATAACATCATCAATTTTCCAATCATGTTGTTGGCTAATCCCAGCCTCATCTCCTACAACTTCCCATTCCTCCCTTTATAAAACCCAACTCTCATAAACTCACTACTCCAACCCCAAAACTCCAATCCCAGAATTTCACATTCCCATAAAAGCTCAAAAGTTTCAATCTTTTCTGCAACCCAAATTTGCAATACTTCAATCTTTACATCCCATAAGGAAAAGGTCATCTCCATATTTGTTAGTGTACCTTGAATGGTTCTAAGTGAGAAAGAAAATGGTGATACTAAACGGCTAGGATGGATAAGACTGCAAGCGCCATCAGACTCCACAGTGGTGGTGCTGTGCAGCATATGACTCTGCTAAATCATCACCAACATTCGTCTCCTCCTCACAAGCTACTAAACATAAGTGAAAAAGGGGAAAGGTAGAGAAAGAAATAGAGACGGAAATAACGAATTGAAAGGCGAAAGGAAGATAAAGAGGAAGAGAAGGGCATGAAGGGGAACAATACTTTACTTCAAAGGATGAGCAAGAGTTACTACTCAAAATTGTTCATTGCAGATTCATAGAACTTCGTATTATGATCAGAACCGAACATACATTTGTCTTGCCACGCCGTTAATAGGAGGTGCCTTCGATTGATAAGTCGAGATGCCCATTGTTCGGGCAAAGATTTCTCTAGAGAATGTCTCTGAACCTCAGTACAGCTCCCCAAGGGATTGGCACTTTGATATTTGGTAGTCGGGCTATTGCTTGTTGGTGTGCTACAAGAAGAGTATAAAGTTAATTTTAAAAGGTGCCTTTATAAGGCCTTAGGTATAGGCATTGAGGCTCACAATCAAAATTAATAAAGTGTTAGGCATGCCATTGCTACCTCAATATAGCAGATGTAGAACAAGTGTGTTTTAAGTTGATTATTTGTGCCCCAAGTTACTCAAACTTCTTGTTATAAAAGGATTGTTGCATATAGGTTAAGTCAACATTAAGTTTTTTTTTTATTGCCTTGTAAACAAGGACTTTTAGTTTCATGATCTTGTATGTTCGAATTGAGGGAGTCCAGGGCCCTTTAAAACATTTGCTTGATTCCATGTTGCTCTTAATGAAAGCAAATATATTAAGTTAACTAGATCCATATGAAAATGGGTTTCTTAAATAGAAAATAACTGAAGATAACTTGAATACATGATGAACAATACATTTAGATGACATATTTACTATTTTAAAGGACAAACAGAGAGATTCAGGCAAGATTTCACCTTGTCTGGCAAGGTTGAACCTCTTGCGGCCACTTTTCTTTCAGTTCACAAAGGGTGTCCCCTAAAAATGATGGATGGTAAACAGGTTTTACACGTGGGAATCGATACTACAACACTAGGGAAGGTAGCAGAGTTTTTACACTAGACAAAAGATAACTTTTCTAAGGAAACTATTTCTAAAATGATAGAATCTGGATTGATTTAAGCTTTTTGGATGCAAATATGGCTTGAGAGTAGAGTTTGTATGCTTGTTTGTTTGATTGGTTGAGTGTCTCTATCCCAGATGCTTGCTTCCCCTTTTATAGGCAGTTTGGCCTAATTGCTATAGCTTTTACTCTTGCCTGAAAGCTCTTGGAGGGTAGTGAGTCATCATCTTTTTACTGATAGTGCCACTAGGAAGTGTTTTTTGGCTAATAGTAAGTTGGTCTTCATCACTTGTCACTTTCATCATAGATATGTGACTTTTGTTTTGGCTTGAGAAGGCTTTAGTTTGCTTCAGATTTCGTGGCTAGGCTTCGGGCAGATTCACTCTGTTTTGACATCTTTAGACCTTCCTTCAGTCTAGTCCAATATTCAAATATTAACCCAAACACCCACCACGTTCTACAAGGCTCGGTGTGTGCAGGTTGTTCAAGCTAAATATTAAGATATAAATTGTGGCTAATCAAAGGAAAAAAAGGAATGGTGATATCGATGAAAAAAAGGGATGTCGTTCCATAAGGTACTGTTTAGTACACAGAAGGGACGGGATAGGATAGAACGGAATAGAACAGAGGTTCCGTGTTATGTTTGGTACGCGCTGGACGGAACAGAACCAAAAGATTAAATGACTAACTTACCCATGTTTTGTCTGTTGTTTGGTACAATGTTTATGCGTGAGACGTGTTTTTTTTTGTTGAACTTGTTCATATTTTGAACACATATATGCTTATCTATGATATATTTTTTTACACTAGCACATGGCTGATGATATGTTATGCCATGAATTCTATCTTTTATATCAATATGATGCTTAACTTCAATATGGTTGAAGCTTACCGGACAATGATGTGAAGAGGCAACTTTCAAACAATATGAGAGTATAAGTGTAAAATTATGAGTCTGTATTTTCCAGAAGTAGGCTTTCCATACATGTCTACATCTCAGTAGTCTTCAAACAATAAAAAACAATGACAACAATCATTTCAGCAAAATGTCATCAAACTATCATCAAACAATGAATTGGTAAAGTACCAGAATAAGAATGGAAACATATTTATCAAAGGTTATTTGCATTAACTTATGCCATTATCCATTATGACTATTATAAAACAAAAACTAAATCCAACAGTTGTTAATTATACATCAGTAAGATCTAAACCAATAATTATGTTGCAATTTTAGCTAACAAATGTCCCACTCAATCAACAGACATTTGAAATTAAAGTTGATGGTATGATCTTTCTTAGTGTGATCCTGCTGCATTTCTATGTCAAAACCTGAACTTGAAATCTCGAAAACTAAAAAAAGTGAGCCAAAAAGCTCATACCCAGTTGAGATCAAGCAAAAATAGAAAGAACACAAGTCCTCAAATTCCACAAGGACTCAACCACATTTGGCCCATTTCCCCTGATCCTTATCACAAGCCCACAATCCCACCTTATTCTCAATCCCAACTTCATCCAGCATAGAACCCACAAGACCAAATCTCTCATGCACTTCAATTCCGATTGCAATCCTACCAAAACCTCACTCACTAAACAACAATACCAACAAGGCAGTTGTATACAAGTACATAAGGTAAAAACAATGCAATTCACCACCTCATAATCATCCTGCTCCCTGTAAAATTATAAGGGGGAATTCTGATACAAGAAATAGCATGCTAACTTGTAGGCATGAAAGTTAACAAATTCAATTATCTGCACCAATATATAGATAACAGATAGATTAACATATATCACAAGCTTCACTGTTATCCAAATTATATGTACACCAAGCAATCCCTCATTTGTATATATCATACTGTTGACCCTAAAAATTACAAAACCTACGTGGCGCGCAGGCAGAGTAACTAGTAAGCTAACTACGTCATTCGGTTGAATGCGGGGCGTGCCAACTCGTCGGCCGAGCTCGGCCGAGGAGTAAAATTTGTTGATGTAGCTTTGAGCGCGTCGGTGACTTCTCTATCTTGCGATTGCGGCCAAGGAAGGAACAAATCTCGGCCTTTGGATTCTCGAGCCTGAAGACAAGGCTGCTAGTTCTACGAAGTTCAATATCAAATTCGGCTCTCAAGATGCCGAATGTAGTAACCTGGTAACACCTCACTTCGCCGGGAAGGCTAATGAGATGACCTCTGCCGATAAGGATTCGAAAATCCTTCTCGACCGAGACTTGGATAAATAACCAGTCGGCCTCGGCGCAGTGCTGTTTATCCAAACTGAAGGTGCTTCGGGAACGGCTGATTCTACGGCAACAGTGCTGTTTATCCAAACTGAAGATGTTCGCCGGTTGCCTTCACAGTGCTGTTTATCCAAACTGAAGATGTGTCGGCGGAAAAAAGAAAATAAAAAAATCTCAAGATGTTTGAGAGGTTTTGCGCAGGGCAGTTGGGTGTTGAATTGGATCCCTTGAATGGTGTTCGCAGCCTTGTATTTATAGAGATCTGCAAGCCAAAGTCGCGAAAATCAATCCTAATTGTACTGTGACTCTAAGTCTTTATTGCTCTCATCTTATCAAAATTTTGTTGTCATCCTGCAACCTTATGCAATCCTGCTTTGACTAATAACCTTTATCCCTCATTATCATAACCTTCTGCCAAAGACCACATGCATGCATGACTCCTTCACCAATTCCTAGATAAGACCACGTGCACCAATCTCATCCATGAATTCCAAGTCACTTTGTTCCGAAACAACCACCTGGATATATCAAAAATTAGGTTTTAACTATCCTAGTTATTATTAAGATATAATATTACGATAAAAATCAAAATATTACTTCTCAATAATAACTAAAAATTATTTCAACCACTTTATCATCCAACGGTCTAAAATTCGCCTATTCAACGGTCTCGATTGCTCAGGCCGATGGTGTAATTTTGGGTCCAAACACATACGAAGTGAATTCCAATTCTATGTCGTCATTTTTACTCCAGCCTTTCTTTGGCCAAATTCTCCAACTCCTATATATAAATAGACAATAAATAGAATAGGCTTTGATAAGCCACAGGCTCGCAACCACAGAAAGATCAGTTTATACCACTCATTTTTCTTATGTTCTTCTTCCTCATCTTCTCCTTATTTTCTTCCATTTTTCATTTTCTCTACCCCTCCTAACAGACCCAAAAAATCCCCAACCATCAGATATCAGTAAGAAATTAAGAAATCTCAAATTGGAACTACAACAGCATCCGAATATCACTAGTGGGGTCTTACATTTGTTTGCTCCATTCTTCACTTCTAATTCAGAAATCTCAAATTGGCATGTTAAATCTATGCACTCGCACTCCTAGTTGCACAAATCTTAACAAAACCCAGTAATTAACAAATCAAATCTGATAATTAACAAAACCCAGTAATTAACACAACCCAATAATTAACAAATCAGCAACAAAAGATAAAAAAGAAAACCTATTAATTAAAACCTAGAATAACTTTCAACCGGAACGCAAAACAATGAAACAAAAATTGAGATTCATCAAGCTGTCAATACCTGGGTCAATTTGCAGCACGACAGTAGTGGCTCCATGTTGTTGCGTGCTGGCTAGGTGTAGTCGATGGCTACGGGACAAGATGAGGAGCAAGCCCACGGGAAGAGAAAGGCAGCGATAGAATGAATGTAGGGTTTGTTTTAAGATTTGGATGGTGTAATCATTGAAAAAGATAAGGGGAATTTTTGTCTTAAAATGTTATAAATTTGTGTTCCACGAAGGTGGAATAAGTCGTTCTAGGGGGGAGGCAGAACGAAAAATCTGGCAAAATACGTCCCGTGGAACAGTGCGTTCCATTCGTTTTAGGCGCACTAAACATGAGACAGAACGCCTCGTCCCATTGCGTTCTGTCCCGTCCCACGTACCAAATGGTACCTAAATCTTCATCTTTTCTTATCCGTTTTTTAATTTCTTTTAGGGTAAACTACACTTTACCACCTCAGGTTTGAAGTCTATTGCAATTTCATACAACATCTTCAAAAAATTTCACTTTCATACCTCAAGTACTATTTTATTTCAATATAATACATCATTTACATTTTTCATCCATTATTCCGTTTAGAGTTGACGTGGCTGCCACATTTGTGTCAGGTGGCTAAAAAATAATTTTTTTTAATGAATTTAAAAATAATTAATTTAAAAAAAAAAATAAAAGAAAAAAAAAATCATCCCTTCCATTTCCCCGCAACCCCCTACCCATTTCTTTGACAATCTCCAGCTTCTCGTCTCTGGCCCCCCTCATATCCGTCTCTGTCTGTCCGGTTTTCCATCGACCACCACTCGATCTCTCCTAACCATCATTCAAATCGATCCATCATCATTTCGAAGATAACCAGACCGATTTCAATGTTGAAGAAGACTTGTATGTGCTCGCCGACGTCGCATCCGGGATCGTTTCGTTGTGACCCTCCATAAAAACCAGGGAAAGAGTTAAACCACCGGATCTTTCCCGTTGTATAGGTTGAATATACGCATATCCGCTATAACAAACTTGCTGGTTCGAATCAGTGGAGTCGAAGCAAGTAGGTGAAGCGAGCCTTGACCGCCCTGATTCGGCCTTGCGCTCATTAGCAACGGCGGAGAGCTAGGTTTCAATTGAACTTCCTTGGCGACCCGCTCTACTCGAAAACCGTTGAAGTGGTAGATGTGGTTCCGAGAACTCGGGGAGAAATTGGACCTTGGGGAACCAGCTAGACAGCGGCGGTGGGTTTGGGTTGGGCCTTCTAGGCCCGAGAGTGGTGGCGGAAGGTGAAGTAGAGAGAGAGGAGAAAGAGGGTGATTGCCCAGATCCCCTTTTCAAATTTTCGTTTGTTTGTTTTTGTTTTGCTGAGTTGGCATGACATACCAGATGGATATCCACCTGTGCAAGTTTTGAAGGGAGTGGGCTGACATGTAATGGGGTCCATTGCTGCCACGTTAGCTCTTAACGAACCAATGAATGGAAAACGTAACAGACGTATTATATTGAAAAAAAAAACGGTAGATGAGATATGAAAGTGATTTTTTTTGAACATGTTTTATGAGGTTGCAATAGACCTCAAACCTGAGGTGGTAAACTGTAATTTACCCTTTCTTTTAATATTTTATTTTTGGCAAAAATGATGTTATTTTTTATATCCTAATTTTGAATTTATAATTAGCCAAGATTTCTAAATAATACAAATTTTTATTATTTTTTTGTCCACTTGGCTAAAATTTGGCCTCCACTTAACAAGAAGTGGGCTCCGTCGCTGCCACATCAGCATTTAATAGAATAATTAACAAAAAAGTTGACGAAGGTTTGACATTGCAACAAATTCATAAATTAAGGTATGACATTGCAATGTTTTAAATATGAGGTATGACATTGTGATTCGACTAATAGTTGAAGTAGTTTTGTGTAATTACCCAAAAATTAACACAAAACGTTGACGTGGCTTAATCATAACCGTTCAAATAAGAGGAGAGGGAAGGGGAGAGAATCCTACTCCTTAGTATGTCACCACGTATTCACACTAGAATAAAAAAGAGTAAATTGTAGCAATGGTCCTTCAACTTTTATCAAATTAAGGTAATGATCCCTCAACTAAAAATTCATTACCATTGGTTCCTCAACTCATCAAAACGTGTAGTTATGATCATTTTCGTCAACTCCATCAAAATTCTGTCAAAATGAGTTATGTTGAAAGGATCACTGCTACAATGGGTTAAAGTTGAAGGATCATTGCTCTAATTAAGTTAAAGTTGAGGGACCATTTCTCCAGTTGGATTAAAGCTGAGAGACCATTAATACAATTTTTCTTATTTGCTTTTCCATATTTACCCCTTGATCCAGCCTCACATGCATGGCAGTGACTCATTTTGATGGAAGTTTTAACGAAGTTGACGAAAATGATAGCTGCAGGTTTTGATGAGTCGAGGGACCAATGGTTAGGGGTGGGCACTTGAAACCGAAAACCGAAATCAAAACAAGAACCAAATCAAACCGTACCAAACGATTTGGTTTTGAGGTTTTGAAACGGTTTCAGTTTGAAATCGAACCGCAGTGTAGGAAAACGATTTGGTTTCGATTTTGGCTTTTGAAAACTGCACCAAAACCAAACCGCACCACAAATATAAAAAGAACCTTTAATTGAATAACCATATTAGATGTTATGTTTTAATTAGATATTTGTTACACTCCATACATTTAATTAGTTGTTTCATGCTTAATGCTGCACTCGATCTCATTTGGCATTGGGGACAAAGCATTTTTCATAATAATGGTTCCTGTGTATGCATGTAAATCAGATTCAAATATATATGTTTTTTGTCCTCAATTGCTCTGTTTGGGCAATTATTACTTTTCTTAGGCGCCGATGGCAGCTTCTGGGTAAAGTACTGAAGGCTATAAAATGATAGAAGTGTATCAATTTGTTTCGTTGTTATTTACTCCAACACTATCTGATTTGGTTAGGCCTTTTCTAATACTTGCTATTTGATTTGGTTAGATGTGTAATCAAGGGGCAGAGGAATCCTTATGACCCCTTGTTGTTAGGGGGGGCGGAGGGAGAGTGACGAGGGTCTAATGAGTATTTAGCAGTAACACCTCTCTCTTAGGATGTGTATTATTTGTTTAATATTTTTTGTGAGATGGGAGAGAGAGAGAGAGAGAGGAGGATAAAGAGATTTTTTTTTTCATTTTGTATGTAAATGGTTTGAAAATCGAACCGAAACCGTTTGAAATTGCACCGAATCAAATTAAACGGTTTGGTTTCATTTCGGTTTTGACTTCAAAATTGCACTGAACTGAACCGTGCCCATCCCTACCAATGGTAATAGATTTTTAATTGGTTGACCATTGCTCCAATTGGGTTAAATTTAAGGAACAATTGCTACAATTTACTGAATAAAAAAACATGTTTTGTACAAAAAGGCTTTGGGCAGCGTGCCTGGAGCGGGAGACTACAAGTTTCAATTTGAACTTCACTTCAACGGCCAAAAAGTACTTTAAAGTTCAAATAAACGAAAAAAAAATTGCACGCAAGGCTTCGGCTACCATCTACTCCCTTACCGTTGGAAACCGTATATCTCTTCAAGGCAGCGGCAGTCATCCACTCCCCGGCTGTTGGATTTTTTACTCCTCTCATCTCTCAGATCATTCACTCCCGAGTTCCTCCATTGCCGATCCGCAGGTAAGCTTGACGTTTAACCCAAATTTCCGCGACTGTCGAAATTTGTGATATTAGGGATCTGGGGGTTTTAAGTTTTAACTTTCAATTTGAAGGCTTTTTTTATATTTGTTTTGGTTTTTGTAGTAATTTTAAATTTTGGAGTACTGGTGAGTTGGTGAGTGAGTGAGGATGGCGGATAGTGGAATAGAGATAGAGAAAGTAGAGTGGTTGGATCCAGAGATGGAATTTCTGGCATCGAAGCGAGAGACGGGGAATGAGTGGGAGCTCTTTAAGGAGAATGTTAGGCCCTTGAAGAGAGGCCGCAAAGTCTCCATCTTAAACGAAGCTCTCAAGGTTCACAACGACAATCAACTCAAGATATCCCTCCTTGACCAAAGAAGGTTTTTTTTTTTTTTTTTCTTTCCTCCAAACCTTCATCTGCATTCGCCTTGTTGATTTTTGTGTAATGTGCCTTTTTTTATCTTTAATTCTTTGAATTTCTTTTGGATTTAACTCTCACAAGGCTGTTGATTCAAGCGATTGACGAGTGTAAAGGCGAGGATCCTCTCCACCCATGGCTTGAGTGAGTACTGATTACTTTCTTCTCTCTGATTTCAGTTTTACCACTGTTTTCATTTCGATCTTTCCATGAATGGGTTTCTTGTCAATTGTTGCAGAGAATAGATATAAAAAATGCATGATTTTTGTTATTGTTGGAGACCTAGTTACTATCCTTTATATACCCTTCAATTTTCTCCGTCTATCTCTTAAAGGTGTATCAAGTGGGTTCAGGAAGCATTTCCACCTGGTGGAGATTCCTCGGGGTTGGTGGTGATATATGAGCAATGCGTACGTACATTTTGGCATTCAGACCGTTACAAGGATGATCTCCGCTATCTCAAAGTCTGGTTGGAATATGTGGGTTCTTTTTCTTTCCCATCATTCATATCTAAGATTAGTTTGATTTTAGCGCTGGACGTCTATTTCTAAGTGCCAGTTTCAGATCCTCAATTGTCTGATACTGTAATGTGTGAATGAATTGGTTCCGCAGGCTGAAAATTGTGTAGATGCTCAAGTCATATACAGTTTTCTTGATGCAAATGAAATCGGGAAGACACATGCGGTTTTCTACATCTCATATGCTTTGCTCTTGGAATCCAAGAACAAAATGAAAGCTGCCAATGAAACATTTAATCTTGGGATATCTAGGTTACCTTATGCTGATTTTGGCATCTCAATTTTTATTGTCTCCTATACGTTCTAGACCTGAATTAACTATTCCATTTTACAGGAATGCTCAGCCCGTAGAAAAATTGAAGGATGCATATAGGAAATTTATTGCTCGCTCTATGAGAAAATCAAAAGCTGCAGAGGTGTGCCCATTTACTCATAATACAGGACATGTTATTGCATTATTTTTGCAAGCGATTTACTATTCAATCTTCTTCAACTTTTAGGAGGATCCAATGGAGAAACATTTACCCACCCGAAGCTTTGGAACTGTCCTTTCCAAGGGAGAGAATCGTAAGTTTCATTGCTATTCTCTGGATTATTTTTGTACTCCAGCATTAGTTATATCCCACGATGTTGCAGGAAAGCTGGGGAGCTCTGATCTGCTGAGAAATAATTTGAAGCCAGATAGGTTAGATATGAAGTTCTTATCTGCTTTATTTTCTCTGTGTTAGTTGACTATTCTATTCAAATACAATTATTTGACTTAACTGTAATCAACTGCGGTAACTTGTTAACATATCACGTAAACCAACTAAGAATGTCCATTACCAGTTCATTTCCGCCAAAAAGCAGAAACTGATAGTAATGTGCTGAGTTTAAACTCAGTGTTCTTTGTAAGGTTTCTCTAAAATGCAGTGAAACTGGTTTTGAACACTTTTTTATTCCATCGGTTAATCATCACATTATTTTACTTTTCCAATAATATTTTGGAAAACAATGTGGTTTGATTTGAATTTTTCTTTTGCTTACTTGTGCTTCTTTATTCTTGACTGTATAAATTCCACAGTTATATCTCTTTCTTATGCACATAAGCTGAGCGTTCTTTGTAAAGTTTCTGTAATATGCAGTGAAATGGTTTTGAACACTTCTTGATTTCATCAACTAATCTTCACGTGATTTTACTTTTCAAAGTAATATTTCCAAAAATAACGTGGCTTGATGTGAATTTTTCGTTTGCTTATTTGTGGTTCTTTATTCTCAAATATTGACAGTATAAGTTCCATAGCTCTTTCTCATGCTTCTTTTAATTTCAATTTTGCCAATCTTCTTCCCTTAAGTTTGATGATGTTCATTCAATGTGTACTCTCTGTTTTTGCCTGTGACCATGCTATTGTGTTGGTGGCCTGTTTGCAAACTGGTACATGAGATCTTGTGTTGGCTTGACTTTATAGGGATCGTGTCCTGGCTCCAATCAACATTTATAAAGAGTCAAATTCTGTTGATGTTGGCTCTCGTTACCATCCAGACGTGCCAAAGACAGACCTGAATTCTTGGCACACCCTTGGACCTAGAGCTGAGAGAAATAAAGAAAACAATGCTATCCCTACCAAGTGGACGACATACAAGGTTTCCTCCCTCTTCCTTCCCCAATATACAATTGATAAAGATTGACACTTTGATATATTCACCGAGCCAACCATAACCTTGGTTTATCTCTTTCAGATTCCACAGAGACCTGGATCTAGAACTAGAGGAGCAGGTGCTAGTAGCACCTGTATTGAAGTTTTTGTTGATGAAGAATGTGAAGAGTGAGTGCAATGACAAGTTTCATTAAGTTTAGCCGCCAGTTTTCTTTGAAATTTTGTTATCTTTGAAAATTTGTTATCCCATCTTGGTACAGTTTTCCAAAATACCTAAAGTCACATGACAAATTGTTGCGATAATCTATAGCAGCTTCTGTTACGATGCATTATAACTCTCAACTCAATGTTTCAGAAGTATAAAAAGTATGTAGGGCAGCGGCTCTGTTTGCAAGTCAATCTGTTGTGGAAACTGCTGTCAGTTTTCTGACTTGTTATGGTTTTGTTACCAGGAAACATAGAATGAATGTTGAGGAGGGTGCCAAGTCTTCAACCGTGCAACTTAGACTGGACGAGGAGAGAGATCTCAAAAGGTAAGCTAACTAAATTTGTTGAAACTTTTGGATTGAAGATCTGATAAGCTGTTTGTTTCAAATTTGAATTGCTAAGATTTCTTTGTGATGCTTTGTGCAGGGAAACAGAATTGCTGCGGGAGGACCCCTTGCGCAATTTCCCTCCCAACAGTCTTCCTAGGTGATGGCCAAAATTTATGCTTGTTCGAGTGTTAGATGATGATACATTCGCGGATCAACGCTTTATCTCTCTAAAGCGTTGCACATGCTTATGAATTCAAATTTCAAGTTGGATATGCTAAAACGTTATCCTAGGGGATGTATGTTTGCAATTCTGGATATGCTAAAGCGTGACACATGATTGTGAAATTCTGGATTTTTCATTTCAGTTGGCTAAAGTGTTGGTAGTGCTTAACCCAAATGTTCTCTTGTCCGTTTATTAACAAATAAAATCTCACTTGATTCCTATTTGTATTAGAGGGTGTGTTAGTGACAGGTTAGTCCTGTGGTTGATAAAAGAGACCTGCAATGAAGCGAGCGGTTGCAGATGTATTCATTAGCGGGGGCTTTTTCAATATTAAAAAGAGAAATATGACTAGAATAAAGGATAGATTGTCATATTACCTAAAACATGTAGAGAGTTTCTTGTTTTGTGAAAGTTTAGTGAGCGTTGTGACAAGTAGGTGAGGATCATCCTACAAAAGCTTGCACTGACATAGAATTAGGTTGTTCGAGTAAGATAGATCTCCCAAATAAAATTATCTGAGAGGTCTATTTGCTTCGGCTACATGAATCATGATATGACATTTGGGCTTGCTGGTTTTCAAAAGGATTAGAGCATTCCCACCGTAGCAAATTGCTCGGGGGACAGTGTGCAAAACAAAGGCCCGAGGGCCGGTGGCAGGCCTCCAGCGTGAGGAAGCCCGGCGGAAGGGGGAGGCCCGAGCAAAGGGCCCGTGAGGGATTGCCAGCCCTTGAGCCCGAGGTGGGGATGACGTCATGCTGACGCCAGGGTGGCGTCAGCCTAATATTTTATTTTTTTGTGTCAGGCGCGTGCACCCCACCCGCGCGTGGGGGCGCGTCCCGACAGAAAAATCAGAAAAAAAAAAGGGTTTTGTCAGTGACCGTTGGGAAGCCACGTGGCTTCCCACGGTGCGTTAGATCTTAACTGTCACTTAATGTGGACCGTTAGATCTCAACGGTAAAAAAAAAAAATTAAGTCAGATTTAATATCCACCGTTCGATCTGAGATCAACGGTGGATATTAAAATGCTTTATAAATAAAAAAATAAATGAAAAAATAGTTTTAAAAATCTGAAAAGTTACCGTTGTGCCACGTGGCACAATCTGGAGCGTTGGAATTCAAATTTTTTTATATCCAACGGCAGAGATTAATTAATTGAATAAAAAATTCAAAAAAATTGTAAAAAATTCAAAAAAATATCTGAAAAAAATTGTAAAAAAAATTGTTTTTACTTTTCTATAAATACCTTCTCATTATCATCTACCTTACACAACAATTTCATATTTTCTCAACTACTTTCAATCACATTCCTTTCTTTGTCTCAAAGTTTGAATCCATTTTTTTTCAACAAAATGACCACTGGTGTAGGTACGAATTGGTCGCTTATTGAAGATGTTGCGTTGTGTACTAGCTGGGTTGAAGTTACTCATAGTTCGCTTACGGGTAATGAGATGCAGTTGCGAGAAATGTGGAGTCTTATTCATACCAATTTTCTTGGGAAAATTGGTGGGAAAAGAATCAAAGAATCGATGTCCAGTCGTTGGAAATTACTTAGCCAATCGTTTAGTACGTGGAGAGACGCTTTGGCACAAGCTAGTAGTAATATTCAAAGTGGAGAAAATTACTCGGATCAGGTAACAATATAATTATTTGTTTGTATTATTTATTTGTTATCTACATAATTTATTATTTATTGTTTGTATTATTTATTTGTTACGTACAAAATTTATTATTTATTGTTACTTATTTGTTACATTATAATTATGTTGTTTGTATTATTTATTTTTTGTTTGTTTGTATTATTTATTTACTAAACTTGGAACTCTAGCCCCATGTTATGATTAACATGACATATATATATATATATATATATATTTGCTAGTTACTTATTTTCATTAATATTATTTATTTGTTACTTATTTTCATTATTTACTAAACTTGAAGCCTTCTTACTTATTTTCATTATATTTGTTACTTATATATATATATGTATATATTTGCTAGTTACTTATTTTCATTATAATTATTTATTTGTTACTTATTTTCATTATTTACTAAATTTGAAGCCTTCTTACTTATTTGTATTATTTATTTGTTACTTATTTTTATTGTGTAGGAACTTCAAGCACAAGCTTGGTACGCTGCCAAAACCAAAAGCAAAAATAAATCATTCAACCGGTGGGAATGTTGGAATATTGTCAAAGATTGTCCTAAATTTAGAATTGTGCACGTCGGTCGAGAAGTGCACATGAACAACACCCCTCTACACTCTACACCCGATCATGTTAATGAAGATGATGCAGAACAAGTGCCCGAAATGCCCCTCCCTGAACAAGCATCGGGTTCGACCCGTTTTCCAATTAGGCCTGAAGGTAAGAAGGCTTCAAAGAGAAAAGGGAGTGCTTCGAAGAACGATTATGCAAAGTTCATGGAAGAACTTACTCGCCAAGGTGAATTGACTTTGGCGAGGGACCTGGCGAAAGATGAGGCTGATAAGGCTAGAGAGGCATCAAAACAAGCAGCTGTTGAGAGAGAATTTTATGCTAATGAGAGAGAAAGAGAGCTACTTAGGCAAGAAATGGAACATGTTAGAGAAGAAAGACGGGCTCAACAAGATCGTGAGATTATGAACATGTCTTTAGAAGGGAAGTCTCCAAATTCAAAATATTTTTGGAAGTCAGAGAAAGCGGACGTGGTGTGAAGGAGGCGTGCAAGAGAAACGATAGCAAGCCAAGGTGGTTCTAGCACCACAAGAGAAGATCATCCTAGCACCACAAATTGGTTAAGTGATGATGAATAGAGTACTTTTTGTAATCGGAGCCCATAATTTTCCAATCACTTTGGGTTGTAATTTATTATTTATTGTTTGTATTATTTATGTTGTTTCCAATTTCTTGAATATTTATTCAAATTAATTTGGTAAGTTATTTATTAAAAGTCCATCGTTCTAATTAAAAGTCCTTGTATAAAATAATTAAAAGTCCATCGTTCTAATTAAAAGTCCTTTACATAAACATAAACATACTAAGAATTACATATACTAAGAATTACATAAACATAAACATAAAAAAATTACATAAACATAAACATAAACATAAACATACTAAGAATTACATAAACATAAACATAAAAAAAATTACATAAACATACCAAATAATAAAACACACCAAATAAAATAACATAAACATACCAAATTAAAAAAAACACACTAAATGAACTTAATTATCTTCAGCTTGTTTCAATGCCCACTGGTGCTCTATCAAGTCAATTTGTCGGGCATTGTGCATGTCTGGCATTTGAAATGCAGTATATCGTTGAATGAGCATTTCATTGTAACGTCCATCCCTTTGTAATGGCTCATGTTGCACGGGTTCATCGGTGGCGTCATGAGCACAATATATACGTGTTCTTGAATTGTTCATCGGGTCTGGCTCATATTCATCAACATCTTCATAATCGTATTCATCTTCCACAATCATGTTGTGAAGAATGATGCACGTCATCATGATGGAGCGAAGCGACTCTAGGCAGCACCCCTGACGATCGTCCAGCGAGCTTGGAGGATACTGAAACAACGCTCCACATCCTTCCTGCACCCCTCTTGACAGCTTGCAAAGTGTTTTTCCTTTGCACTCCGTGGACGTGGCACTGTTTTGACAAATGTTGACCAGCGGGGGTAGATGCCGTCAGCTAGGTAGTATGGCCCGTCGTACATACGTCCGTTGACCTCATACGTAATTTTTGGTGCCTTTCCTTGCAGGACATCGTTGAACACTGGGGATTGGGCAAGGACGTTGATGTCATTTTGAGCTCCCGGGACCCCGAAAAAGGCGTGCCAAATCCATGTATCAAAAGATGCCACCGCTTCCAGAATGATACTTTTTGCTCCTTTTCTGTCCCCGTAAGCGCCTTGCCATGCACTTGGACAGTTTTTCCACGTCCAGTGCATACAATCAATGCTTCCAATCATCCCAGGAAAGCCATGCATCTCCGCCTTCTTCAACAGCCGCTCCAAGTCCATGTGTGTAGGTTTGCGGAGGTACTCAGCGGTGTAGATAGATTCGATTGCTCCGCAAAACCTCATCAGGGACTCAAGAATGGTTGATTGCCCCATCCTCGTTATCTCATCCACTTGGTCTGCAGATGCTCCATATGCAAGCATCCGCAAGGCAGCAATAATTTTTTGCTCAGGCAGTAGACTCATAGGACCAAAAGCATTTTTTTTTTGCACAAAATAAGAATCATGGTTGCAAACAGCAATCATGATTTTGTTGAACAAATGTCGTTCCATTTTAAAACGACGTCTAAAGTACATATCAGGGAATGCACTATTAGGAACAAAATAATCATCCAATAGTTCCATACCTCGTCGTTGCCTGCTTCTATCAAGGTTTCTGGAACGGCTGGGCCTGCAGATCTGAGCCGCAGCTTGGATGACTCGACGGGAATGTGAGGCTCTGCCCCTTCTTACTTTGTCATCTCTCATTTGACGCTCCTCATCCTCTTCCCTCTCATTTCTTACCCCCTGGTGATTGAATGTTGCTTCTGATTCGTTAAACAATTCTTCCTCTTCCTGATTGAATTCCCACATCATCCTTGAGGAAGAAGAAGAAGACATTGAAAGAAAGAAACAGAAACTATGAAATAATGATACAGATTTTTGTGAATAAGGAAGCAAAAACTATGAATAATGATAGAGAGCTTGAGAATTTTGGTGTGAGATTTGTGAGGATGGATGGTGGATTATATACAGGATTCAGAAAGGATTAGGTTGTGCATAATGCCACGTGGCATCCCGTCATTCGTTACAAATCTGATGGAAATCTATCCTCAAAGATTGTATACAGATTATGACACGTGGCATGCCGTCATTCGTTAAAAATCTGATGGAAATCTATCCTCAAAGATTGTGAACCGATTATGACACGTGGCGCGACGTGATTGGTTAATAATCTTATCAGAAATCCATCACCAATAATTGAATTATTTTGTAATATTTTGTATTATTTAATAATACTTCGGATAATGACACGTGACGCAACGAGAACGATTAAAAATCTTATCCGATATTACAATTAAAATTATTTTGTATTATTTTATAAATAAAAAAAATACTAATATTTTATTGCCTATTGCCAGGGCTATTGAAGTGTAACGGTGGAGATGCAAATTCTATTGCCAGGGCTACTTACTGTTCATTAAGAGCAGTTACTGTTCATTAGGTGGATTGAATAGTGTATTGCCAGGGGGGAGGGCTCCAACGCTGGAGTTGCTCTTAGGACTCGTGCCAGTCCTTTAGGGGGCAGTAGTAAAATGGACCTTTTCTGTTCTGAGGTAAAATGGACAAAAACTAGAAAATTATTACACTGTTTTTACTTATTCAAACTACCATCACGCTTTTACATTCATCGCATAAGGTTTGAGCATGGCACAAATCGAAGTTGTGCAATTTTTCAGTGGCCTCTAACTTAGAAGTACCTGAAAAATGGAACGGCGCACATATACACCACACTTTTTCCATTAGAAATCTACCGAAAATATCACACTTTTTTGGTAGGGATTAACAAAAATCTGTTAATCGGGAATTAGGGTTTTACGTTCCAGTTGTTGTTTTCGTAGATTTTATTCATTTTTGGGCACTCTGTGTAGATGACGTGCCATCGATCCAACCCTATTTGGTCAAGATGTGAGCGGTCGTGATGCATTGACCAAAAAGGAGCGAACGGCGGTCATTGCAGCACAGGATTTATCCTTTTAGCATCAGATGATCAGATCAGATGCCGAAATCGTAAGCGGCTGTCAAGCGAAGCAGTAGACAAGGGTCCGAAGCGTCGAATCGAAGCTTCCGGAATTCAATCATCCAATTGGCAGTTAGGGCCCGTCGACATCTGTTACCTGGAACCCCTGTACCATTTACTATGGCGGAGCACTTGGCTTCCATCTTCGGCACAGAGAAGGACCGCGTCAACTGCCCCTTCTATTTCAAGATCGGCGCTTGCCGCCACGGTGACCGCTGCTCTCGCCTGCACAACCGCCCGACCATCAGTCCCACGCTGCTGCTGTCCAACATGTACCAGCGGCCCGACATGATCACCCCCGGCGTCGACTCCCAGGGCCAGCCCCTCGACCCGCGCAAGATCCAAGAGCATTTCGAGGACTTCTACGAGGACATCTTCGAGGAGCTCACCAAGTTCGGCGAGATCGAGAGCCTCAACGTCTGCGACAACCTCGCCGATCACATGATCGGCAACGTATATGTCCAGTTCAAGGAGGAGGATCAGGCCGCCGCCGCTCTTCAGGCGCTGCAGGGCCGCTTCTACAATGGTCGCCCCATAATCGCTGACTTCTCGCCGGTGACCGACTTTCGCGAAGCCACGTGCCGCCAGTTCGAGGAGAACAGCTGCAACCGAGGGGGATATTGTAATTTCATGCACGTCAAGCTGATTGGGAGGGAGCTCAGGAGGAGGCTCTTCGGGAGATACCGGGGCTACAGAATAAGCCGGAGCCGGAGCCGGAGTTTGAGCCCAAGGCATCGGAGCAGGGACTACGATAAGTACGATAAGAGAGAGAGGGACTATCGGGACCGTGATTATCGCGGGAATGGGCGACGGAGCAAGGACAGGTACGACAGGGACCGTGACAGAGACGGTGGTAGGAGAAGACACGGCAGCAGTCCGAGGCGGAGCAGAAGCAGGAGCCCCGTGGCGGTGAGGGAAGGCAGCGAGGAACGGCGAGCGAGGATTGAGCAGTGGAATCGAGAAAGGGAGGAGAAGCAGTGAGTGATATGAAAGCGCATTGGCATTGGGATTTTTCATTTGGATTGGTTGATTTGATGGGTAAATCTTTCTGTATCTGTGTCAATTAAAACTCAAATGTATTACTGTCAGTTCTCTTGTTTGGTTGTTTAGATTGATTAGTATTTACTATTTAGTAGGGGCTAAGTGTGATTAATGACTGTATGTTTGTTTGATTACTTGACTAGGTTGCAGACGAGCGCAGATGCTTATTATTTCATTCGCTCGCAATCTCTTATCGTATTTCATGCATCACTTTTCAATATACATGATATTAGATTTGCATAAATCTGCTGAAAATTTGATCTTGTCTTGTTTTGATTGGAAGATCGATCAAGATGTAATAAAAATATGTGTTTATTTAAAGATTTAGAAAGTATTTTTTAGTACTGCCCATGCCTGATCTTCCCAATATGAGGCCCCTTTTTTTGTCCCTAGCTCAATTAGAATCAGGCATTACGAGTAAGGTTGGCTTTAAAGGTGTCAATGTGAAATTGCAATTGTCAAGAGCTTGTAGGAGTTTTCTTGTATAGAGTTTGGTAGGTTTTAATTTGGAATTTTCTGTTCTGGAAAACATTTGAGGTGATCATTCTGGATTCTTTGAAAGCTTAATGTGCAAACGGTGGGCAATTTTACTTGTTTGCATTGAGTAACAAAAATTTGTTCCGTCTCCCGCTCCCCCTGTCCCCTTCTTTCTGCATGCTCTCTTGTAATTTTGGTAATCATATAAGTCGTTCTAGACTTATGCATGTGTTTCCTTTCTGGCTTGGATTGTATACTATGTTCTGCAACCTTTATGTCTGTTTTAGTTCCATGAAGATATGACAAACTGAAAGTGGCATAATAATCGTTGCCCATCAAATATTTCTATTTTAGATTGTTTTGATATCAAAAGTCGTTGGTTTCTGAAACATATTCAAGTAATCCAGTCAATTTGATTATAATATAGCTTCCTTTGTTGTCTTTACAGCTAGTAGTGGTGCGTAAAACACTTGTTTGTGGAGACACTAGTTTTGATGAATTCCACTGCGAATGCAGTACGTATATCACACAGCTAGGTGGTTATTTTGTTGTTTTTTTTTTCCCTTTCTAATTTTACAGGACATTGCTATTTAGTTTATAGCATCCCGTTCGTTATAGATTCGTAGGTTGGGGGTTTGTTCTATGATCTACCAATCATAAGTTGAGAAGAAGCTGGGTTCAGTGATGAATCTAAATTGGATTCTCAGCACACCGATGATATGGTGGGATAGGTTAGCATTTGTATTCTTTCTTTGTTAGAGTATCATTTGTGTATCACTTTCTGGCTAGAAAGCATTGGTCCTGCTATTTTTAATGCCGTGTGGATGTGTAGGTGTCCAGGTACATGGATTTCAGTACTTAACAGACTGAGAGCATCGTTCAGATTTCCTCTCCTGATGTTATGCTCAAGTCAGATTTTTCAGTTTCTTTGCCCACTCTTTTATCTAATAATCTTTCCGCTTATGATTTAGGGTCTGATACAGTGTCTCTGAGAATGGTGTAGGTGAACAGGAAAACTGCTCAGAAACAGGTCAAATGGCGAGTTGATGGATTGATCTAACTAGCTATGGCGTAGGCTAGACCTGTAAACGGGTCGGATTTATTGGGTTTGGGTCGGGTTCACCCGTTAGCGACCTGACCTGTTAAGCATCCACCTAAATACTAATATTAACGGGTCGGGTCGGGTCCAAAATGCTAGGTCTAGCGTAGGCCAACTCTAGGGGCTCCTTTGGTTTATGGGCAATAGATGGTTGTCACATAAATATACATATCAGATTAATCGGTCTAGCAAACAGTGATCACTAGTTACATATGCTTAGTTTCATATTTGACTTAACGGTTTCTAGGTAGTAGTTTTTTGGCCACAGGAGAAAAAAACTATAATATTACTGCATTAAAGCTCTAATGAAGGATGAGCAATTTATTTGATTATTCAACAGTGCGCCGATGAGGAAGCTGAAAAGAATGAGTGAGAGGTTTGCAGGGTTGACAGATGCCTTGGTGTTTGGTGTAGATTCTCCTTTGAATTTTTCTGCAAGTGTTTTGAATGATGATATTTGATATTTGACTGAGTTTTCCTCTCTTAGGTGAAGGTGTTGTCGATAGCATTTCTGAAGCTCGAGCGCAAATTTAGGCTATTCAAGTAATCTGTGTGTCGTGGACAAGCAGATAGCAATTACAGGTTGAAATTAGAAAGGCCGGGCTTAGGATAATGAGTATTATAGGGCAGGATTTGATTTGTCTGGGATGATTGATCGTTCGAACTTCGATCGATCATGTGCAAGTGCAATTGCAAATGCAATGCTGTTTGTTGATGGCTTTATAATGATGTTGGTAGTGAGTGTATTAGAGTTTATACATATATATACACACACGCACACACAACTTACATGAAGACGATAAAACGATTTCCTCATTTGAATCTCCAATATACTTTTGTGTATAGGCTGGCTGAGATTTGTTGTGATTTCGCCCTTCTTCCACTTACTTTCGGGATTGAACGGTTAACAAATCGTGGTTTGTTTCTTTGAGGGAAGTCCGATAAAATTGAAACGATCCGGATCCATGGAAGATTAGCATGACCCTTGTGCAAAGATTTGACATGAATAAATCAATAAACGAACGTTTAAAATTTAAACAGGTCGGTCCAGCCGAACGTGGTAGAGTTGAATTATGAAGATTTTGAGTGTGTTCATATTATCAAATTTAGCTTCTCAACATCCCATGGGCATGATATTTATAATTTCATTGTATCTTCTACTTTTGTGATTCGGGACGCGTGTAAAATCTGAAATGTCAAGTATTTTTGCAGTGCAGTAAGATCAAAGTACCCTAGCACCACAAGTCATATAGAGTTTGTTTGGAATTACTTTTAAAATAGTTGAAACATTTTTTGTGAAAATATTTTTTTAACCAATTTTTAGTACAAATGCAAGTAAAATCTGAAAAAAAAACACATGAAATGCTTTCTATAAAAAACAAATAACTAGTGTTTTTTTGCATGAAACACTCTTTTAGAACCCAAAATTTTTTTCTTCAGAAAGTAGTTACAGTCATTTTAAAAGTACATACAAACGAACCCATATACTTCCCTATATTATCACCTAACTGTCAATTTACTCCTTTTTATAGTCAATTTACCCACTGACCTATAAAAACATTTGTAATGTATTTTGTCTCATAAATTTATTTTGTAAGCATCGGGAAGTTCGCATTGAAATTTAGGTCCTAACATCATGCTGGCTTTAGACACGAGTGTCTTCATGAGTCCTTTATCTCTTTACAAACAATTGATTTCAGCACTACAATTAGATTTGAAGCTATTTTATCTTTTTTTTTTTTTTTTTTTTGTCAATTTAAATCGTGAGGCTTGCATGTGATATGCTTTGAAGAGTACATTTTGTAGTATTTAATAAGCTTAATGATAGTTAAAATTACAACGGTGTTATCTTTTAAATTTATCACGCAAAAGTCTAGTGCTTGACGAAAAATTGAATTAAATAACTTCTAATATATTAGTAGAGATGAAATTGTTAATTTTATTAGAAGAAAACTTAAATTTTACTCAAATAATAATTTTGAGACACTTTAAATTTCGATTTGTTAGTCGTCCTTGTTCTAGAGGATTTCACTTGCATAAAGAGAAGCACCTTCCAGGTAAGAGCGGGAGGCCACCAAATACTAGTTGATCGAAATCCTATATGGCGTGATCCTATTGGTGTGGTGATTTCATCGCCTTAAATCCTACGTGGCTTCCTTACTCGCGAAGATTAGTCCGAATTAGAACGCGTTTCCAACAGTTGTCTGTGTCGCTTGCTACCCTTTATAATTATCCCCTACGCTTTTACGTTTAGGAGTCGGCCTTTAGGATTATCATTAGATTAGATATCAACTGCTTCCTTGTTTATGGAATTGGAAGCTGATGTTGGATTTCTGGATGAAATCGATTGGGATCTTTGGTTAGAGGACGCCTCTATTTCCAATGGATTGGATCATGTCTTTCAGTTGCCAAATCCACCCGTCACGGCGACCGGTTCAACGCCGCTGCCGCCATCATCATCCTCTTCGCCATCTTCAACGGTGGAGGAGCCTGACCCTCCCTCCAACCCATCCCCGGATTTGCTCGGCGCGATCGAGACCATTTTGATGAAAGACGACGATTTCGACGCCAACAAGGTTCCTTTGGCGGAATCGGGACCCGCTAACAACGAGTACTACGACCAATTTTTGGCAGATATACTCGTCAACTCGCCTTCCACTGACCGCGATTCTAACGCTTTCCCCGATTCCGACAAGGACAAATTCGACCGCTCGCCGCTCTCAGATGACGCCGACGACGATCCTATCTCCAAGAAAAGGAGAAGGTACCTTTAATTTACTATGCCTGTTGTTATTGTTTATATCGGTAAATCTGATCTTTAGGGTTTTCTTAACTTGTGTCGAAGTAAAAATGGGAGAATTCCGTTTAAATTATAGAATGTGTGGTGTAATGCCGATAAAATTTACGGATTGACTTATTCTTAATTTGTTGTTATTAAATTACTGTGTTTGTGTTAATTTATTGCATCTTTTCTGTTTTGTATGCTAAGTAAGTGAATCCTTTCAAGAGGATTAGGAGATAAGCAAGATTACTGGGTTGGAAAAAGAATAGGTTATTGGTTGAATTATAACTATGTGTAGGTTAATTATGATAATAGCGTTGATAGTAGCGAATGTGGTTTGAAATTCCAGGCAGTTGAGAAACAAGGATGCGGCCGTGAGATCAAGGGAGAGGAGAAAGATGTATGTGAAGGATCTGGAGATTAAGAGCAAGTATTTTGAAGCTGAATGCAGGAGACTGGGGAATCTGCTCCAGTGCTGCTACGCGGAGAATCATGCTTTACGGTTGAGTTTGCAGATGAACAACACATATCGACATGGTCATGGTGGTTTGGCCTCAAAGCAGGAGTCTGCTGTGCTCTTTTTGGAACTCCTGCTGTTGGGTTCCCTGCTTTGGTGCCTGGACATCATGTGCCTCCTTGCTCTGCCTCGAACTCTAATGACCCTGCTGCGACATCTACATCCACTGAAAAACGTGGACGTGGACGTGGACGGAAACAAAGCTCTAGGAAGTGTGGGTCAAAGGCCAAGAGGGGGGTCGAGTAAGATGTTTCAACTCCGATCTTTTTCTAAAAGTAGGAGATGCAAATCGTCAAGGACAAAGATGAAACAGAGTGGGTTGCCTTGGTTCCTGAGTGTTTACGTGAACTCTACTCTCCCTCCTCTAATGTTAATAACTTAAGGTTGCTGGTTCGTTGGTTGGTTTATTTTATTTTGGTGTTATGGTCTTGTTTTGGTTGTAGTTATTACTATTTGAGATGCAGAGGGCCTTTTATCGAGTAGACTGTAAAACTAGCATCTATAATTAACGGGTTAAACTTTTGATATGGGAATCCTTCAACTATGCTTTCTTCGTTTCTTGGTGATTGTATACAATGGTCATCGTAGCATCTATGATCTTTTTTTCTTTGCGGCTCCAGGCTAGTTTGTGATTTCGGAGGCAGATCTTGAGGAATTCCGCCAGAGGATTCCAGCCTGCGCTATGATTAATGGGTTATATTTTTAACGTGGAACTCCTTCAACTGTTGCGTTATAAAGAGCTCAATGGGTATCACGAAAGGCGCACAAACTTGGACACGATTGCTTACTCGCATCATAATTATAATAAACAGAATTAGTTCAAATGACTGCTTATATACGCAAAGATTTTCAACTCGTATGACAACACGAGCAAATCAACACTTATTTTTCGATTAGACAAACAACATGATCAACAAGAACGTGGTCAGATTAGAGCCAAGTCAAGTAAGAGACATGATATATCAGCAACTAAAGCCGCTTACAAAAAATCTCAATCACCGCCCATCATAGTGGTTAGATTTGGAGTTTCAGAAAATATCAATCTCAATTGTCCTGTATACTATTTCCAATTGACAAAGGCACCTCGCTCTCTAATTGTCTCCTTTTTCACTAGAACTTCCACCCTTTTGATCCGTATTTTCCAGAGTAGCATTTTTCTCCGAGCTCTCAGAATCCTTTTCTTTCTCCAATTCTTTGGCAACCTCCTTCTCAGCTGCCTCCTCAGCCTTCAAAATGGGCAGATAGTAATCTGAATGAGCCTGCATACACTTCTTCAATGTTGCGGTGACCTCAAAGCACTTTTCAACAACATCCTCCTTTGTCTTCTCAGACTCCCTAACGCACTCTTCCCAAGCTATGAAACTCTCCTTGCACCCTCCCCCTTTCATGAACAAGCAAAAGCCACACTCTCCCTCCTCCTCTTCCTCTTCTTCCTCCATAACATTCTCTGATTGCCCTTCATCTTCCTCACGCTTCTCTTCTTCTAGGGTTTTGTTATCCAATTGGGGGTCTAAGGAATGTTTTCGATTTTGGTCGTCTGGGGTTTTAGAATCTGAATCGGCCATGTGGGGATTTGATGAGTTTGGTGGTGAGCCAGCCTTATGAGAATCAGTGGGAATCATTGAGTTGGGCGAGGGCGGGTCAGGATTTTCTGTAGTGGACGACAAAACACTCCCCATGGCTCCTCAAAACCTCCTGAATGTAACGTCAACGGGATGATCAAAATTTGATGTCAACTATATACCTTAGTTAATAGAGCTAGAGTAATTGCATATTAGAAGCACAACAAAATAAAATCATGTTGAGAATTGATTATATTGTATTTGATTAAAGAAAAATAGCAGTGATTAAGGTGATACATGCATTCGACTTACAAGCAATACTATGTCAATAAAAAAAAAAAATACAATCAACCCAGACAGGTACCATAAAAAGAATTTATTAGTCATTCCAAGAGTTTTCTCATTTACCTTCCCCTCAAACAAAGGAACCAAATTACAAAAAGAATGCTATGTAAAGGAATTTAAAATGGCGATAAGAATGTAGTATCATGTAGGGTTTACATTAACAGAACATTAAAAACCTCATAGAGGACTCAGACTACTGAAACTACTTGAGACTGAAATATATCTCTCTTCACAAAGCATTACTAGATAAAAGTTAAGAATAAAAAAATATCAACCCTCCAAGCAAGTTTTTTTATTTTCCGCCTGAGAACTAGCATTGCTTCTTCCTGAAGTACTTACAAGAGACATCAAAAATTCATTTACATTTTCCATTTCATTCTTTAAACACAAATATATCTTGGTGCGAAAAAGCAGCCATAATCCACTTTTATTTTCCAAGTTTTTGCATTTAGAGAAATATCAGTGCCCAGTTTTCTATTATTTTGTATGTTCCGTATGTAGAAAATCATTGTGGCTTTCTGCTCAAACCTTTTGGCCAAGCTTCCACTAAACAACAAAGACCAGCTACATATTGATTATGGCCAAGAAAATGACCAACCTTACATACTTTTATTTTCAAGTAACAATACATGAATACTCTTTCAGGCTTATTGTACAGATACGGCTCTCTTTTGTGAATCCACACAAATGCATGAGTGCAAAAAAGGGCTGTTTAATGAAGATTCAAATTGAGGAGTTGCATTTCAGCTGTTAGATGAGCTGTTTATACAGAGGCTATTATGCATGTACATGATCCATATTGTATATGGACTTGCAAATTCTAGTCGCTAGTTCATATACAATATGGATCATGTAGATGCATAATAGCCTCTGTATAAACAGCCCATCTAACAGCTGAAATGCAACTCCTCTACATGATCCATATTGTATATGAACTAGCGACTAAAATTTGCAAGTCCTCAACATAAATCTTCATCAGAATGCCACCTTGTAAGTATAAGATTTAAGGACACACAGTTCAAGAATGTATTGTATAATATGATACCACATTAAACATACCTCAGCAAGGCTATGTATTGTTTAATCCAAAAACACAATTAAAATGAATCAATGTAAAACACAACCTGTCCGACCTGAGCTTTATACAATTACTTTTTTTCTTGGCTTAGATTGCGAGAATCACAAATACCGTTAACTGTTATTTCAATCGGTTCATGCCTTCCTAAAATTACATTTTCCTTGGCTTCATAGAACTTTCTATTTCTTAGAATAAAAATTGAACTTTCAAGTATTTGATCTGTGGAGTTCCATAAAATTCTACAAAGTTAAATTCTGCATAGCAATTATTAAGTATGTTGAATGACCGACTGCATAATGCAAGTACGCAATTAACATGAACGGATGAATGAGATTGAGAATAATAAGCCTTCAATCACAGAGATAAATTCAATGACAATTTCAATTTCAGACATATAACGAAAACAACAACATCAACAACACTACTAGGCGATCAAATAGAAGAAATAAAAAGCAGAAGAGGAACTTACAGCAGTAAGCTCTCTGATTCGGTGGTCTTTGGGCAGCCACGCTTCGCGACGACGGACTTTGGCGGCACGGAACGGCAGCTAAGGAAAAGGCGGTGATGGGTCTGATGAATAATACACGGAAAGAGAGAGGGTTTAAAGGCGGAGTCGCTGAAGGCAGTTAAAGCCCAAAGCGTGAGCGACACTCCAACGCTTTTTTTCTGAGGAAATCAATCTTCCAAAACTATTAGCATTTTCACATTTTGTTTGTTTGTTAGAACTGGGCCTAAAGGCTTAACAACCCATTCTGAGTAATGAGGCCCAAAAACTTAAACCGGGCATTAAGGCCCACTCTACCTACTAGCGATTTTTATTGTTTATGGTGATTAACTATTGTTTACACTAAACAAAATCATTTATATCCTAAAATGAAATGTCAAGAAAGGACAGCTACAACATAAAGGAGTAAAAAAACCCAAAAGACAAAACAGAAAAAGGAAAATACATCAATGTTGTTGTTGCTGCAACTAGGGTTGTAAGTCAACTCGAAACAGTTTAAACTCGTACCGGGTTCAGCTCAATTAAGAAACAAACCCATATATTCGGCTTGAACAACTCAAAAAATTTTACGAGACAACTAGAGATAAACTTGAGTTCGGCTCGGGCATTCATTATATTTGAAGGCCCAAGTCCAACTAACGTTATCGTTCTTAGGCGTGCGTGAGGGGGTGTTAGGTGGGAGATCCAGTGCGAGCGCGCACAGCATTGTTTTTCAGTTACAGGCGGTTTGGTAAGACAGGGGGCAGACTTGAATTTACTGGAATAGCCTTGACAGGATATTCATATCGAATGTGCGCATAAAGATGCTTCCATTTTCTATCCTCCGGTCAATGTCCGGTCTGACCAAGATCTGTCATTTATCAAATTAGCCTCTCACCTTTCTCATATCGTATGTTTGCCCCCACAACTCCTCATCTTAATCTTCAAATATTTTCTTCTTTCAATTTCGATCATTATATAACTAGTGCTGCAACACAACACGTGTTGGGACTTGGGGGGTCATCATAATAATATTGTTATATAAAATCATGCAAATCATGATAAAATTATATAAAAATCGTAAGTTATTCATATCCTCTGTTTGCTTTATGTTTTTTTTTTTTTTTTAAGTACATCCATATTTTTTAACACTAATGGGAGGAAGAGTTTGGTAAAACCACATAATGAGTAGTTTAATTTTGTACCGAATTCATCATTTATGAGATTCGAACCTAAGATATCTCACTTTTAAGTAAAAAATAATATACCGTAATACTTTATATATTTTTAATTATATTCTAGAGTTTCCAACCCTAAAAATCATCCGACAATACCAATTTTACCACTTGGATAACCACAACGGCTCCTTGTTACTTTCTCTATAATAATAAAGTATTGTTGCGTTGTGTTTGTAATACAATTCCTTATAACAAAAACCGTTGTGCCGCCTTTTGTATTAGAAAAGTAGATGAGGATTATGTCACCAGTATGCTTTTGTATTAGGAAAACAGATAGGATTATGTCACCAATAAAAACAACATCGATTGAGGGTATAAACTTGAATGTCATGCGAGAAATTGACAACCTAATTATTTAGGGAGATTAGTATATATAAAAACACATGACAAAAGATCTACGTATAATGTGATCTATGTACATGATGATAGAAAAGTTTTTCTCTCGTTTTTATATCTCTATAAATTATATATTTTTGAATTTATTGGTTTGGGCAAAACCTTGTGCAATAGGGGGAAGGGTTGTTTTAGACAAAAATTTATGCATGTTTTTATATAATTGACACAAAACTCTTTAGGTCGCGTTTGGTATGTGGGATGAGGCGTTCCCGTCCCATGTTTGGTACGCTTAAAACGAGTGGAATGCACTGTTCCACGAGACAAGTTTTGGATGATTTTTCGTTCCGCCTCCCCCCTGGAACGACTTGTTCCACGTCCGTGGGACACAAATTTTTAACATTTTAAGACAAAAATACCCCTTATCTTTTTCAAAATTTACATCATCAATACAACAAACCCCAAACACTACTTTAATGATACTCTATCTGACTCATGCAAGTTGCTTACGTGTTGGGAGAAGGGATTGCAACGAAAAGTAAAAAAGTATAGGGTATGTGGACATTTTTATCTCTCACATACTCCTCTCAATTTTCGACCACTGGACCGAATGAATTGAAGAAGTTCAACAAACAAAAATTAACAAGACTGTGCGAGAGGTAAAAAGTGGAGGTGGGAAATAGCACAATGCAAAGTATAATTAGAGGTACATTTTAAAACCAAAACTTGACCCTCCAATAAGAAGTCAAAGATTATGAAGAAAGTTCGATTCCACCATAAAACGAATTGACAATATGTAAAGTAATTCACTTACTTATAAGCCTATGCAAGCCCCTCATCCCATCATTGTGGGATTTGTTCTTTGAATATTCAAACATAAGGCATCTTTGAGCATTGAAGAATTGATCAAGTGACAAATTTAATTAAAAAAAATTATATCGATAAAAGACCAAACAAGAAAGAAATTTACTCTTGATTTGATAATAATTATTCCGTGAATCATGCCTTACTATTTTTTCATGGGGAATAAGCTTAAAATATTCAGTTGTTACAAAATCAGAGAAAGGAACGGACGAGAATTATGATAGAAGAAAGTTGGGGCAAATCAGTCAATGAGAAAACATAGCAGTCAATCAGAAAACATAGCTGATGGCAAGGCCGTAATAAAAGAAAAATAGCAGGGGAATTTGGAGTTAAAAACGGGGAGAGCAGATGTGAAAGGTTTCGGGTTGGTAGTATCGCCAATGGCCGGGCCCTTTTTGCGCTCTATAAAAGCCGTCTTTTGAAGACCCGTCATCACCTTCACCGCAGTAGTTTTGCTTTACACCAAACACCACACCCACCAAATTCTCTCTCTCTCTCTCTCTCTCTCTCTCTCTCTCTCTCTCCAAATCGACCGGCGCCATGGATTCCGACTACGGCATTCCCAGAGAGCTCTCTGATCTTCAGAAACACCGATCCCAATACCAACCCGAGCTTCCTCCTTGCCTTCAGGTCCCTCCCCTCTCTCTCTCTCTCTCTATATATATATATTTTTTTTAAATACCTCGATTCTGTCGTTATTACTTTTAATTTTCTAGTTCTGGATCTAGTTACAGTTGGATCTATTTTGGCAGGATTGAATCGAGCTGAATTGATTTGTTTTGGTTATTATTGATTATATTGTGTTTTTGCAGATTTGGTATTTGTTACTTACATTGCCTGCTGAGTAACTATTGCAGATTTGCTACTGTTTCTTTGAATTTTTGGTAGCATGGTTTTTTGATACAGTAGTAGCATGATTTAGTCTTAGAGTTTCTATCCAACATGCAATTACACATAAGAATCATGTCCATGGCGTTACCGTGCTACCTCACTCTAAATATCTGAATGTTTGACTTAAGTTTAATACTGTTTGACTTGATATACTGTAAGAACGGACTTTTTAAGTGTATTTCCTATGCAACTCTGATTGATTAGAGTATTTCCGTTCATAATTGTTTAGATTTCCGCGGTTGATCGACTATGTTTTAATGGGGTGACTGGTGAATCCATCTCTTACTCCCCGACAGTTGAGATTTTTACTAATGGTCATGTTTGTTTGTTATACATTGTCATCTCGCAGGGAGCTACCGTGAGGGTTGAATTTGGTGATACAACCACATCTTTAGATCCCACCGATTCCCACACCATCAGTCGCTACTTTCCCCACACTTACGGTCAGCCTTTGGCTCACTTTCTCAGGGCAACTGCCAAAGTCCCTGGTGCTCAGGTTATCACTGAGCATCCCCCTGTTAGGTATGCACGTATGTTGCAATTATAACCAGTTGTGTAATAATTATACTACTTCCCACCCCATCGGTGGCGGTGTTTGAGTTATTTCAACGATATAAATGGAATTAAATATTTTTAAGTATTGCTAAAGTATTCAATTTCTTCTATTTGAACAGGGTGGGAGTTGTCTTTTGTGGGAGACAATCACCTGGAGGACATAATGTTATATGGGGTCTTCACAACGCTCTAAAAGTTCACAACCCTAACAATACCTTACTTGGGTTTTTGGGTACATACTTCTTTCGTTTTGGTCATTGTATCTAGATTTTCTGTTGTTTGCTTTGGGTTATTGTTTTGTGTATGTGTAAAGTGATTTGATTAGTTGTTGTTGATTTTTCTGGAATCTTGTATTTCTCACTCATTAAGGAAGTTGACATTTACTTATGACACACTTTTATCTGTTAACAGGGGGTTCTGAAGGTTTGTTTGCACAAAAAACTCTTGAGATAACAGATCAAATTCTTGCAACCTACAAAAACCAAGGTAGGTAGTGATAGGAAGATAATTTCCCGTGTGAAGGAATACTTTTTTTATTGTTAAAACTTGTGAGTTGTGATATGATTTCGCTTTACCAGGTGGTTATGATTTGCTGGGAAGGACAAAAGACCAAATTAGAACAGTTGAGCAAGTCAACGCTACACTTACCGCATGCAAGGATTTGAAATTGGATGGCCTTGTCATTATTGGAGGTAATTGATGCTTATGATTTTGGTAGTTTTTTTTCTACGAACGACAGGATATTCTACATTAAACTACGGGGAAGGGGATACGAACACGAGACCTCGAATGCAAGGGCGAATGCTTTTAACCAACTGAGCTACAAGCCACTTGCCTTATGATTTTGGTAGTTGGTTGATGTGCTTTTAATTGCATAAATTAATTCTTAAGTTGGTTTTCTTGAAGGTGTGACATCAAATACCGATGCCGCCCAGCTTGCAGAGACATTTGCGGAAGCAAAATGCTCAACAAAGGTACTTTTCACATGATATTTTGTATCGTTACTTAATTGTTTACTGAGGTTCTTTTTGTATGTTGCAATGTAGTTGTAGTTTATATTTTACTCTTGTATTGTAGCTGTCGACATCGCACCTTATGTAAGTTATAGATATGTGGTACCGCAATATTGATTGAATTTTTTTAATTTTTGCAGGTGGTTGGTGTTCCTGTCACTTTGAATGGAGATCTTAAGAACCAGTTCGTTGAAGCAAATGTTGGTTTTGATACAATATGTAAGGTACGAGTCAAATTATTTTGACCCTTATTATCTGCAAGAGAAAGGGACTTTTTGGGGGATGGGGGAGCTTTAT